CACGAGGTCAAGAGATCCAGACCATCCTGGTCAACATGGCGAAACCCCGTCTCTACTAAAAATACAAAAAATTAGCTGGGCATGGTGGCGCGTGCCTGTAATCCCAGCTACTCAGGAGGCTGAGGCAGGAGAATTGCCTGAACCCAGGAGGCGGAGGTTGTGGTGAGCCGAGATCGCGCCATTGCACTCCAGCCTGGGTAACAAGAGCGAAACTCCGTCTCAAAAAATAAATAAATAAATAAACACAATAACAGACTGGCGTGGTGGCACAGCTACTCAGGAGGCTGAGGCAGGAAGATTGCTTGCGCCCAGGAGTTCCAGGCTTCAGTGAGCTCTGATCGCACCACTGCACTCCAGCTTGGGTAACAGCAAGACTCCATCTGAACAGAAAAAAGAAAAGAGAACCTTCCAGGAATAGTAGTATGACCTGTATCACTTTTGATTAACTAATTGTGATTGAAACTTAGGAAAATAAGTTGCTAATATTTTTATTATGGCTTCATTATGCTGCATCGTATTTCATTCACGTGCTATTATTCTAGTAAGAACAGCAATGAAGCTTTTTTTTTTATTTTTGAGACAGAGTCTCGTTCTGTCACCCAGGCTGAAGTGCAACAATGTGATCTCGGCTCACTGTAACCTCTGCCTCCCAGGTTCAAGTGAGTCTCCTGCCTCAGCCTCCTGAGTAGCTGGGATTACAGGTGTGCACCACCATGCCCAGCCAATTTTTGTATTTCTAGTAGAGACGGGGTTTTGCCACGTTGGCCAGGCTGGTCTTGAACTCCTGACGTCAGGTAATTCTCCTGCCTCAGCCTCTCAAAGTGTTGGGATTACAGGCGTGAGCCACTGTGCCCAACCAGAAGCATATTTTATTTATTTATTTAGAGACAGAGTCTTGCCCTGTCACCCACACTGGAGTGCAACGGTGTGAACTGGGTTCACTGCAACCTCCGCCTCCTGGGTTCAAACGATTCTCCTGCCTCAGCCTCCCAAGTAGCTGGGACTACAGGAGCATGCCACCACCCCTGGCTAATTTTTATATTTTTAGTGGACACAGGGTTTCACCATTGTTGGTCAGGCTGGGCTTGAACTCCTGACCATGAAGCATATTTTAATCTGTTTTACAGTTTTGCCTTGTCTAGCAAGATTACCTCCCGGTTATTACACATATATGTGACCACTCATTAGTGTGTTCTAGGCAACTATATGTATTTTATATATTACATGTGATGTGCTCTAGCAAAACAACGTCTATGATACTGTCATCTGATGCCGACAAGTATTAATATAGGTGTGTGAGGTGGATTCCAGGACCATGAAGAGCTGACAGATTCCATTTAATTAGTTAATTTCTTTTTCTCGAGACAAGAGTTTTGCTCTTGTTGCCCAGGCTGGAGTGCAATGGTGCGATCTCGGCTTACTGCAATTTCCACCTCCTGGGTTCAAGCGATTCATCTTCCTCAGCCTCTCAACTAGGTGGGACTACAGGCATGCACCACCATGCCCAGTTAATTTTGTATTTTTAGTAGAGACAGGTTTCACCAGGTTGGTCAGGCTGGTCTCAAACTCCTGACCTCAGGTGATCCACTCGCCTCCGCCTCCCAAAGTGCTGGAATTACAGGTATGAGCCAAAGTGCGCAGCCAACTACTTAATTTTTTAGAGAGAAGGATTTGCTCTGTTACCTAGGCGTGATCACAGATCACTGTAACCTTGAACTCCTGGGCTCAAATGATCCTCCTGCCTCAGCCTCCCGCGTAGCTGGGGCTATAGGTGTGCACCACCACACCCAGCCAGATTATAGTAAATATAAACATCTCACCTGAAATCTATTTAATTTTAAACATTTATGAAATACGAATGAGTTAACTCTTCTAGCCACCCACATTTACTTACTTGAGTTCCTTTTACCCTTGAAATACATTCTCGGTTACCACTTACACTTAGATTCAAACATTGGGCGTTTAGCATTTTGTTAACTGTATAACACTTAAAAAAAAAAAAAAAATACTGCAGGCCAGGCTCAGTGGCTCACGCCTGTAATCCCAGCACTTTGGGCGGCTGAGATGGGTGGATCACTTGAAGTCAGGAGTTCGGGACCAGCCTGGCCAAACATGGTGAAACCCCGTCTCTACTAAAAACACAAAAATTAGCCGGGCATGGTGGTGAACGTCCATAATCCCAGCTACTTGGGAGGCTGAGGCAGGAGAATTGCTTGAACCTGAGAGGCAGAGGTTGCAAGATTGTGCCACTATACTCTAGCCTGGGTGACAGAGAGCAAGAGAAAAATAGACACAGGTTCTTGATTAGACTGTCGTTTCAGACCACTGTTAGGCGCCTCCCCATGAATTCCATAATTTTTTTTATCTCATGATTTCAAAATGTCAGAATGAATTCCTGAATTCTTTATCAGAACCACCTCCCATTGACCTGGCGGATGTTACACTGGATGTCCCCAGAAACCTGCAACCATTTTCTTACTAATAAAATCTGGAAATTTTATTTATTTAGTTAGTTCTTTTTTTTGGGGGGGGGGGACGGAGTTTCGCTCTTGTTAACCAGGCTGGAGTGCAATGGCGCGATCTCGGCTCACCGCAACCTCCGCCTCCTGGGTTCAGGCAATTCTCCCGCCTCAGCCTCCTGAGTAGCTGGGATTACAGGCACCCGCCACCATGCCCAGCTAATTTTTTGTATTTTTAGTAGAGACGGGGTTTCACCATGTTGACCAGGATGGTCTCGATCTGTTGACCTCGTGATCCACCCGCCTTGGCCTCCCACAGTGCTGGGATTACAGGCTTGAGCCACTGCACCCGGCCTTTTTTAGTTAGTTCTATAATAAAGACAGGGTCTTGCTTTGTTGCCCAGGCTGGTCTCAAGTTCCTGGACTCAGGTGATTCTCCTGCCTGCTGGGATTACAGGCGTGAGCACTGTGCCTGGCCTCACAGTCTGGAAATACTGAATTTAGGGCACATCCAATCCAAGAGCATCAGGCCTCTTGTTACTGGATAGAGTTGTGTTTTGTGGCCGGCACGCCAGGTAATTTCAATGTTGGGGGGAAACACCCCTTATTTGTTGTAGTTAACATACAAGGAGCTGGGCAAGTGACACATTGAAGAATTTTTTTTTTTTTTTGAGATGGAGTCTTGCTCTGTGGCCTGGGCTGGAGTGCAGTGGCGGGCGTGATCTCAGCTCACTGCAACCTCCTCCTAGGTTCAAGCGACTCTCCTGCCTCAGGCTCCTGAAAAGGTGGGATGACAGTTGTGTGCCTCCACGCCTGGCCAATTTTTGTATTTTTCTAGAGACAGAGTTTCACCATGTTGGTCAGACTGGTCTCGAACTCTTGACCTCAGGTGATTCTCCTGCCTCTGCCTCCCAAAATGCTTGGGGTTATAGGTATGAACTACCATGCCTGACCAGAGATCTTTTTTTTTTTTTTGAGTCAGTCTTACACTGTCACCTGGGCTGGAGTGCAATGGTGCAATCTATGCTCACTGCAACCTCCACCTCCCCAGTTCCAGCGATTCCCTTGACTCACCCTCATGAGTATCTGGAATTACAGGCACCCGCCACTATGCCCGGCTAATTTTTTTGTATTTTTTAGTAGAGACAGGGTTTCACTATGTTGGCCAGGCTGGTTTCAAACTCCTGACCTCGTGATCTGCCCTCCAAGGCCTCTCAAAGTGCTGGGATTACAGGCCTGAGCCACCGCTCCTGGTATCAGAAATTGTTGTGTTTTTTTTTGAGAGGGAGTCTCACTCTGTTGCCCAGGCTTGAGTGTAGTGGTGCAATCCCGGCTCACTACAGCGTCCTCCTTCCAGGTTCTAGCCATTCTCCTGCCTTAGCCTCCCAAGTAGCTGGGACTACAGGCACGTGCCACCACGCCCCGCTAATTTTTGCATTTTTTGGTAGAGACAGAGTTTTGCCATGTTGGCCAGGCTGGTCTGGAACTTCTGACCTCAGGTGATCCGCCGTCCTTTAACCTCGGAAAGGGCTGGGATTACAGGCTTGAGCCACCTCTCCCGGCCAGAAATTTTTTAAAAAGAAAGAAATAGGCCGGTTGCGGTGGCTCACACCTTTAATCCCAACGCACTCTGGGAGGCCCAGGAGAGAGGATAGGTTGAGCCCAGGAGTTCGAGCCCCTCCCCATCCCTATTTAAAAACATAAAGAAAGGCCGGGCGCGGTGGTTCACGCCTGTAATCCCAGCACTTTGGGAGGCCGAGGCAGGTGGATCACGAGGTCAAGAGATCGAGACCATCCTGGTCAACATGGTGAAACCCCGTCCCTACTAAAAATACAAAAAATTAGCTGGGCATGGTGGTGCACGCCTGTAATCCCAGCTACTCAGGAGGCTGAGGCAGGAGAATTGCCTGAACCCAGGAGGCGGAGGTTGCGGTGAGCCGAGATCGCGCCATTGCACTCCAGCCTGGGTAACCAGAGCGAAACTCTGTCTCAAAAAAAAATAAATAAATAAACAAAAGTTTAACATAAAATAAAAGCAAGGTGCAAAGACTCCTTTTGTTACTCATGGTTGCACTTAATTAAGAATATAAGTAGTCTTTGAAGTTCTTTTGGGACCTACACTGCCACAAGCTCATGACGCCAAACACGGAATTCCAGAGGCGCCTCCCCCCCCCCCCCAAGGGGATGTCATTAATTCCAAAAGGATCGCAGGGGACCTCTGGCTTCCCTCCCCTCCCCTCATCCACGTGGTGGCGCGGAGCGGCTTCGGAAGATCCGGGAGCTCTCCGGTTCCTCTTGAGCAAAGCGAAGGCGCCACAGGCCGCGCCTGTGCGGGGAGGCGCGCTCGGCCCCGAGCAGCTCCGGGTCCGGAGGCACCGAGCCCCCGAAGAGGCGCGGGCGTCGGGCGGGCCCGGGGAGCCCCTCCCCGGGGCGGGGCCGAGGCGTCCTCCCGGCCGCGCGCTGCGGGGCAGGGATCTGCCGTCTCCAGTTGGCTAAAGCGCTTGCAGAACTGATTGGAAGCCGCCCGGCTTCTCAGCGGATCTCTGCAGGGCGATCGGTGGAGGCCCCGCCGGCCCGCGCAGCTCACCTCCCCGGGAACCGCTCGCGCGGGCCCCCTGCAGCCGGAAGGTTGCAGCCGCCGGAGCCCCGGAGGCCCAGGACGCACGGTGAGTCCCGGCGTGTGCCTTCCCTGCGCCCGGCTTTGACTTCGCCCGCTTTCTCTCTCCTCTTGTAGGCTTCCTCCCCGAGTCCACAGCTGTTTTCCTTCATCGCGCAGGCAGGTCATCCCCTGGAATCTGCAGCCTCTCTTTTACTGATTCCTTTTTTGGGTCGCCTCACTCGTCTAATCCCACGGCAGCTGCCTGCTGCCAAACGGCATGAATGAGTGATGCAATCCTGCACGGGAGCACCCGCAGTGCGAGACTCGGGCAATCCCCGAACTCAGGCGCAGCTGAACTTTCCCACTTGGTCGTCGTCTTTCCCATCTAGAATTAGAATTTTAAAAATAATACTTACCAGGTACGTTGTTATACCGATACAGCTTCGAGCTGAGAATTAAGTAAATCATGCTTTCATTCATTAAATGTATTTACTGTATTTTCTTTTCTTTTGTTTGTACGTTTGTGCGTTTTTGAGACAGTGTCTCGCTCTGTCGCCCAGGCTGGAGTGCAGTGGCGCGATCTGGGCTCATTGCAACCTCCGGGCACTGGGTTCAAGGGATTCTCCTGCCTCAGCCTTCCAAGTAGCTGGCGCCACTACGCCAAGCTAATTTTTGTATTTTTAGTAGGGACAGGGTTTCACCATGTTAGCCAGGCTGGTCTCAAACTCCTGGCCTCAAGCGATCCACCCGCCTCAGCCTCCCAAAGTGCTGGGATTACAGGTGTTACCTACCCACTGTGCCTGGCCACTGTATTTTCTTTGTGTGCAGTTTGCATATTATCTCTTTTTAAATATTTGATGGCAGATATTGGAATGAGGGTCAGGGTGGAAAATAATAAAATCCAACATTGCCGTGTTACAGTACCAGGGAGGTTTTCAGTATCATGACCATAGCCCTGTCACTTTCATGTCAGTGAAACGAACTCAGGACTTCTAACATTTTTCGAATGATTTAATATATGCCTGATACCTACCTTTCTTCTTTTCTTTCTTTTAAAGATGGGGTTTCACCATATTGGTCAGGCTGGTCTCCAACTCCTGACCTCAGGTGATCCGCCCACCTCAGCCTCCCAAAGTGCTGGGATTACAGGCATGAGCCACCACGCCCGGCTCTTCTTTTGTTTTTTTAAGAGACAGGGTCTCACTTGGTCACCTAGGCTGGAGTGCGGTGGTGTAGTCATAGCCCATTGCAGTCCCAAACTCCTGAGCTCAAGTGATCCTCCTGCCTCAGCCTTGTAGCCTGGGACTACAAGTATGCACTGCCATGCCATTTATTTTTTTTTTTGTAGAGATGGCGTCTCACTATGTCGCCCAGGCTGGTTTTGAACTCCTGGGCTCAAGCAATCCTCCCGCCTCGGCCTCCCAAAGTGCTGGGATTACAGGTGTGAGCCCCCATGCCCAGCCTTTTTAAATTTTGTATTTTAGAAAATACTTGGTCTAGAAGTAGGGTGAAAGGCATCCTCGAGGTTGCCTAGACCAGCGTCCCATCAGAGACTTTTTTTAAGCCAGTGTTTTACTGATATACAATTCAATGCAATAAAATGCACTCTTTAACCAACTTGGCCAACACGGTGAAACCCGTCTCTACTAAAAATACAAAAATTAGCCAGGTGTGGTGGTGCACACCTGTAATCCCAGCTACTCAGGAGGCTGAGGCAGGAAAATTGCTTGAACCCAGGAGACGGAGGTTGCAGTGAGCCAAGATTGTGCCACTGCACTCCAGCCTGGGCGACAGAGTGAGACTCCGTCTCAACAAAAAAAATAAAAATTAGGGCTGGGCATGGTGGCTCACACCTGTAATCCAAGCACTTTGGAGGCCAAGGCAGGCGGATCACCTGAGGTCGGGAGTTCAAGACCAGCCAGACCAACATGGTGAAATCCCGTCTTGTAAAAAAAAAAAAGATAAAAAGAAAAAAAAAATTAAAAACAAAATTAATAAAATGCACTCTTTAAGTGCACATTCTGATGAATTTTGACAAATTTATTCATACTTGGAGTCATCACCACAGTAACATTTTCATCCCCATAAAAGTTTCCTAGGGCCTGTTTCCAGTCAGCCCCCTGTCCCAGCCCCTAGCCCTACTTATCTGATCTTTGTCATTATAGCATTTGTATTTTCTAGTGTTTTATAAAACTGAAATCATACAGTATGTGCTCGTGTGTCTGGCTCCTTTCCATCCATATAATTTTTTTTTTGAGATGTAGTTTCACTCTTGTTGCCCAAGCTGGAGTGCAGTGGCACAATCTCGGCTCACCGCAACCTCTGTCTCCCCAGTTCAAGAGATTTCCTGCCTCCACCTCCTGAGTAGCTGGGATCACAGGCATGCACCACCACACCTGGCTAATTTTGTATTTTTAGTAGAGACCGGGTGTGGGAAGTAGAAAAGTTCCTTTTTATAAAGTTTCCTTTCTTGTTAAAGAATAAGTGTGCTAATAATTTTGTGAAGTCCTATCCTCTGTAGCTGTGAGACACGCCATGCTTACGGGCACACAGTACATTCTATGTCCTTGTACTTTAACCAGGACATCTGTGCTGGACGTGCTCACAGGCATGTCCCAGCTCTCCATTGCTTTTACCTGTTTAGAAAAGTTTTAAGTTGTCAGCCAATCGGGTTTTAGTTTAGATTGTGAGGTCTGGCTCCAGCCAATGGAGATCAGACACAGCAGTAAGGACGACCCCAAATGCATAAGGGATAAATTTGTGTGTGTTTTCCTTTGTTCACTGTACTCTCATGGCAGGATGGCTGGCAAGGGTACCCCTCCTGCAGTCCAGGAAGTAAAAATTGCGTTGCCCAAAGAGCCTTTGTCTCAGTGGTGATTTTTCTCTGTGGCACCGAGCATCTGTTTCCAACATGGGGTTCACCATGTTGGTCAGGCTGGTCTCGAGCTCCTGACCTGAAGGGATCCGCCCACCTTGGCCTCCCAAAGTGCTGGGATTACAGGATTGAGCCACTGCACCTGCTTCTTTGTCTATGCATTTAGTTCTCCCAAGAGATTCTCTGTCCCTCTCTCTCTCTCTTGCTTTTGTACCCTGCTAATCAGGTATCCTTGATTTTCTTTTTTTTCTTTTTAAAAGACGGGGTTTCACCATGTTGATCAGGCTGGTCTTGAACTCCCGAGCTCAGGTGATCCGCCTGCCTCGGCCTCCCAGAGTGCTGGGATTACAGGCGTGAGCCACCACACCCAGCCTAAGCATGCGCGATTTTCTGTCAGACTTGAACCTTGCAGAACTGAAGCCACAGAAAAGAGTATGTCGACTCTGCAGTGCTTGAAGTGGGTAGGAGTAAAGCATTTCCCAGAGGAGGCATGGTTAGGAAATTTTGCCTCTAACCCGTTTTTGTGCCAGTCCTACCAGGAGAGAGAGTGAAGCCAGTCTCCGTCTCTCCTGTCTCATGTCTGCACTTCAGTGTTCATTTCCTCATTCTCCTTTCTGGGCTCTTGCTCTTGCAGAATCCACAGGTCTTTCTTGAAGAAATCTGTAGTCAGAACTTTGCAGTTTTATCTAGGGAAGGAACAGGAAGAGTGTGGTCTCCTAGAAATCTAGCACTGGAGAAATGTGAGTCTGATTTGTCCTTTTTCGGTTTAGTCTTGGTTTGTTGCCGTCATTATGATGTTTTTTACGCACTGGACTGTTATATGTTTGTCTACCTGCTAGCAGTTTACTCTTTTTTTTTTTTCAGGTGGTCTTGCTCTATCAGCTGGGCTGGGGTACAGTGGTGAGATCTTGACTCAGTGCAACCTCCACCTCTTGACTCCAACCACCACCTCCTGGGTTCAAGCAGTTCTCCTTTCTCAGCCTCCTGGGTAGCTGGGATTACAGACTCATGCTTGTAACCACACTTGGCCAATTTTTATATATTTAGTAGAGACAGGGTTTCACCATGTTGGCCAGGCTGGTCTTGAACTCCCAACCTCAGGTGATCCACCCATCTCAGCCTCCCAAAGTGTTGGGATTACAGGCGTGAGCTACCGCGCCTGGCCAGCAGTTTAATCCTCACCTCAATTTTAAAAATTGCTGTCAACTGTGTGGCATGCAGAAGATGTCAACTTCCCAGAATAGCTGGTTATAGTCTACATCATTTCAACCGTTACTTTAGCTTCAAGGAGGACATGTCCAGGTTTGTTAACATGGGTATATCACATGATGCTGAGGTTTGGGGTGTGACTGATCCCATCACCCAGGGTAGGAGCACAGTACCCAGTAGGTAGTTTCTCAGTCCTTGCCCTCCTTCCCCAACCTTCTTGTAGTAGTCTTCAGTATCTGTGTGTGTGTATGTGTGTGTGTTTTAGACCGAGTCTCACTCTGTCACCCAGGCTGGAGTGCAGTGGCGTGATCTAAGGTCACCGCAGTCTCCACCTCCTCGGTTCAAGCGATTCTCCTGCCTCAGCCTCCTGAGTAGTTGGGACCACAGGGTGGGCCACCATGCCTGGCTAATTTTTTTATTTTTAGTAGAGACGGGGCTTAACCATGTTGGCCAGGCTGGTCTCGAACCCCTGATCATAGGTGATTCACCCGCGTCGGCCTCCCTAAGTGCTGGGATTACAGGTGTGAGCCGCTGCGCCCGGCCATCAGTGTGTGTTTTCCTGTCTTTGTATCCACACGTACCCAGTGTTTAGCTCCCACTCATAAGTGAGAACACGTGGTGTTTGGCTTTCTGTTCCTGCGCTAATTCACTTAGTGCAGCTCCATCCATGTTCAGCAAAGGACGTGATTTCTTTTTTTTTTTTAATGGCTGTGCTGGCTTTTTTTTTTTTTTAATCATAAAATATAGCATAAGTCCAGGTGTGGTGGCTCACACTTGTAATCCCAACACTTTGGGAGGCCAAGATGGGCAGATCACCTGAGGTCAGGAGTACAAGACCAGCCTGGTCAACATGGAGAAACCCTGTCTCTACTAAAAATACAAAAATTTGCCGGGCACATTGGCTTATGCCTGTAATCTCAGCACTTTGGGAGGCTGAGGTGTGTGGATCACGAGGTCAGGAGTTCGAAACCAGCCTGGCTAAGATGGTGAAACCGTGTCTCTATTAAAATTAGCCAGGTGTGATGGTGAGCATCTGTAATCCCAGCTACTTGAGAGGCTGAGGCAGGAGAATCGCTTGAACTGGGGAGGCAGAGGTTGCAATGACCCGAGATCACGCCACTGCACTCCAGCCTGGGTGACAGAGCAACACTCCGACTCCGAAAAAAAAAAAAAATTAGCCGAGCATGGTGGTGCATGCTTGTGATCTTAGCTACCTGGGAGGCTCTGGCAAGAGAATCGCTTGAACCCAGGAGGCAGAGATTGCACTGAGCCAAGATCGTACCACTGCACTCCAGCCTGGGTGACAGAGCAAGACTCCATCTCAAAAAGTAGATAAAATAAAATACAGTATAAGTGGATGCAGTGGGGACCCTGGCCCTTGTTACAGAGAGCTCTTTGACTCTCCTCTGATTCAGAGCCTTTTCAGAATCTACTGCGGACTCTTCCGATGCCTGGGCCCTGAACAAATTCATCCCTACAACACAAGCAAGTAAGCTTGCTGCTCACAGCTCTGCCGTGACCTTCACAACCTCTGTTGGCTTTTCTTTTTTCTCACACAGGTGAAGATAAAAGGGTCTTGTCAGTCCCAGCCGGGCGTGGTGGCTCACGCCTGTAATCCCAGCACTTCGGGAGGCCGAGGCGGGTGGATCACGAGGTCAAGAGATCGAGACCATCCTGGTCAACATGGTGAAACCCCATCTCTACTAAAAATACAGAAAATTAGCTGGGCACGGTGGCGCGTGCCTGTAATCCCAGCTACTCAGGAGGCTGAGGCAGGAGAATTGCCTGAACCCAGGAGGCAGAGGTTGCGGTGAGCCGAGATCGCGCCATTGCACTCCAGCCTGGGTAACAAGAGTGAAACTCCGTCTCAAAAAAAAGAAAAATCAATCCTAATAGAAGATGAAGGAAGTAAGGTGACCCTAGGAGCCTCTTCAGAAAAGACACAGCCATTGGGAGGTTGGGAAAGCATTTGTTTGGGCAAACAACTTATTTCCTCTTATCCAAAATCAGGCCTCCGGAGGCCGGCCCTGCAGGAAAACTTGCTTTTGTACTTTGGAACTAGGGGTGACATGGCCTTATCAGCAGTGGCTTTTTTTTTCCTTTTTAAAAAAATCAGTTGGCTCTTTGCTTGCCGCCAGATAAACTAGCTGGGGCGGGCCAGGCAGAAGTTCTGAGGCCAGGCGTGGTGGCTCACACCTGTAATCCCAGCACTTTGGGAGGCCGAGGCAGGTGGATCACGAGGTCAGGAGATCGAGACCATCCTGGCCAACATGGTGAAACTCCATTTCTACTCAAATACAGAAAAAATTAGCCGTGCATGGTGGTGTGCGTCTGTAGTCCCAGCTACTCAGGAGACTGAGGCAGAGGAATGGCTTGAATCCGGGTGGCCGAGGTTGCAATAAGCCGAGATCGCACCACTCCACTCCAGCGTAGTGACAGAGCAAGATTCCATCAAAAAAAAAAAAAAAAAAAAAGAAGTTCTGTTCTGAGCTGTGTTCAGGATGGGACCGGGGAGCTGCTGTGTCTCAGAATCTGAGGACAGTCCTTCCTGCTGTGATGTCTTCTGCCCCTGGTCCTGCCCTCTGCCTCCCTGTTAGAACCAAATGTGAGAAATCCTGAGGCCATACTCCAGCAACGATTTTCCTGTGTGTGGAATTCTAATGTACACAATTTACTTGGAAGCAACTGAACTTACTCAGCAGATTTTTTTCCTCTGTGGCTATGAGAATTTTAATTATGCATGGATTGTAAGTCACTCCTGGTAGAGACAATGAAAAGAGGAGGAAATTGGCCGGGTGTAGCGGCTCACACCTGTCATCTCAGCACGTTGGGAGGCCGAGGCAGGTGGATCACTTGAGGTCAGGAGTTTGAGACCAGCCTGGCCAACATGGTGAAATTCTGTCTCTATTAAAAATACAAAAAAAATTAGCCAAGCGTGGTGGCAGGCGCCTGTAATCGCAGCTACTCAGGAGCCAGGAGAATTGCTTGAACCTAGGAGAGGGTTGCAGTGAGCTGAGATTACATCACTGCACTGTAGCCTCAGCCACAGAGTGAGACCCCCCGTCTCAAAACTAAAAATAAAAAAGAAGGAAATTGGCTGGGTGCAGCAGCTCATGTCTATCATTCCAGCAGTTTGGGAGGCTGAGGTGGGAGGATCACAGGGTTAGGAGTTCGAGACCAGCCTGGCCAACATAGCAAAGCCTTGTCTCTACTGAAAATACAAAAATTAGCCGGGCGTGGTGTCGGGCACCTGTACTCCCAGCTACTCGGGAGGCTGAGGCAGGAGAATTGCTTGAGCCTGGGAGGAGGAGGCTGCAGTGAGCTGAGATCTCGTCACTGCACTCCAACCTGGGCAGCAGAGCAAGACTCCACCTCAGAAATCAAAAAAGGAGGAAATGTGAAGTGTACAAGGAGGTGCAGCGTTTTGCAGAGCAGCCTGGGAAGAGCTAAACTGAGTCTGCAGCAGAGCTCTTCTGTCAAGCTGGGGGTGAGTCGGCAGTCTTGTAACCCGAAGGGTGAAGGCTGTCATCTCCGCGGGCCTGACCATTTCATGGGCAGAGTTAAGGAGTTTCAGACCAGCCTGGCCAACATGGTGAAATTCTGGTCCTAAAATCCAGCTCACTCTCCTAGGGAGGGTGTGTCAATGTGAGGTATGTCTTGCTCCGTCACCCACGCTGGAGTGCGGTGGCACAATCTTGGCTCACTACAGCCTCCACCTCCTGAATTCAAGCAATTCTCCTGCCTCAGCCTCCCGAGTAGCTGGGACTAATGGTGTGCACCACCACACCCAGCTAATCTTTTGTATTATTATTTTTAGTAGAGATTCAGTCTCTCTATGTTGCCCAGGCTGGTCTCAAACTCCTGGCCTCAAGCAGTCCTCCTGCCTTAGCCTCCCAAAGTGCTGGGATTACAGGCACGAGCCACTGCGCCCAGCCTGAAGCCCTGTTTCATAGACAAGGCTAAACATTTTTCCTGTGTGCCTGTAGAGCTCTGCACATCTCCACTTCAACCCTTGCTATCTTGCTACAGTTATTAGGTGAAAAATAATGGAATATTGGTTCGACATCAATGTTATATATACATATGTGTGTGTATGTGTGTGTGTGTGTGTTTGAGATGCAGTCTTGCTCTGCTGCCCAGGCTAGAGTGCAGTGCGGTGATCTTGGCTCACTGCAGCCTCTGCCTCCCGAATTCCAGCAATTCTCCTGCCTCAGCCTCTCGAGTAACTGGGATTACAGGCACCCGGCCTCAACATCAAATATATTTAAAAGTTGGTACTAGTCAGGCGCGATGTCTCACACCTCTAACCCCAACACTTTGGGAGGCTAAGGTGGGAAGATCACCTGGGGTCAGGAGTTCAAGACCAGCCTGGCCAACATGGTGAAATCCCATCTCTACTAAACATTTTTTTTAAATGAGCTGGGCATGGTGGCAGGTGCCTATAATCCCAGCTACTCAGGAGACTGAGGCACAAGAATCACTTGAACACGGGAGGAGGAGTTTGCAGTAAACCAAGATTGTACCACTGCCCTCCAGCCTGGGCAACAGAGTAAGACTCCATCTAAAACAGAGAAAGAAAAAAGAAATTGGTGTAGTGTGGGAAGTTTAAAAAAAAAGGAAAGAAAAAAAAGAAAAATAATGAATCCATGAATACACTCTTATATGGGCTACACTGCCTTAGAACAGCAAGATGGGCTCTTTTCATAATTTCATTTAACGTCTTTAAATACATTTATCTTGGGCCGGGCGCGGTGGCTCACGCCTGTAATCCCAGCACTTTGGGAGGCCAAGGTGGGTGGATCACGAGGTCAAGAGATCGAGACCATCCTGGTCAACATTGTGAAACCCCGTCTCTACTAAAAATACAAAAAATGAGCTGGGCATGGTGGTGCGTGCCTGTAATCCCAGCTACTCAGGAGGCTGAGGTAGGAGAATTGCCTGAACCCAGAAGGCGGAGGTGGCGGTGAGCCGAGATCACGCCATTGCACTCCAGCCTGGGTGACAAGAGCAAAACTCCGTCTCAAAAAATAAATAAATAAATAAATAAATAAATAAATACGTTTATCTTTTTTCTTGTAGGAGGAAATTCACCCAAGGATGGTCTCCCACTCAGAGCTGAGGAAGCTTTTCTGCTCAGCAGATGCCGTGTGTTTCGATGTGGACAGCACGGTGATCAGAGAGGAAGGAATCGACGAGCTAGCCAAGATCTGTGGTGTGGAGGACAAGGTGTCGGAAATGTAGGCACAGCATTTATTCACCTTGTAAAATGATAGAGAATTTCTTTTTTTTTTTCTTTTTTTTTTTGAGATGGAGTTTTGCTCTTGTTACCCAGGCTGGAGTGCAATGGCGCGATCTTGGCTCACCGCAACCTCCGCCTCCTGGGTTCAGGCAATTCTCCTGCCTCAGCCTCCTGAGTAGCCGGGATTACAGGCACGCGCCACCATGCCCAGCTCATTTTTTGTATTTTTAGTAGAGACGGGGGTTTCACTACGTTGACCAGGATGGTCTCGATCTCTTGACCTCGTGATCCACCCGCCTCGGCCTCCCAAAGTGCTGGGATTACAGGCTTGAGGGTCTCGATCTCTTGACCTCGTGATCCACCTGCCTCGGCTGCCCAAAAAATTTTGTATTTTTAGTAGAGATGGGGTTTCTCCATGTTGGTCAGGCTGGTCTCGAACTCCTGACCTCAGATGATCCACCCGCCTCGGCCTCCCAAAGTGTTGGGATTACAGGCGTGAGCCACCGCGCCCGGCCAATGATAGAGAATTTCTAAAGAGCGGTTCTTTTGGAGGAAGTGTTAGACCCTGGCTGTGGAACGTGAGCACTAGGCTTTTTCTTTCCTCCCTTAGCGATTCTGATATAATCATTTGTTTATATAAATATTTACGGTAAACAAATATGAGTAAGACACGTTCCTACCTTGATCGGGCGACTGACAACAGATACTAACCAAAGAAGATGGCCTGTGGGTCGGGGCCCAAGTGTCCAGCAGATTTGTGTCACAGTTGGAAGAGTGGCCTCAGCGGTTCCCTGGAAAGGTTTACCATCTCTTAGTGGGTCCTGGGTCAGAGCCCCTTCCTCTCTGCCCTCCCACCTTGCAGCTGGGCACCTCCTTTGCAGCCCCAGTCCCCCAGTCATACATCATGTCATTTTCTTTTCTTTTTTTCTCTTGAGATAGAGTCTCGCTCTGTCACCCAGGCTGGAGTGCAATGGCATGATCTCAGCTCACTGCAACCTCTGCCTCCTTGCTTCAAGCAATTCTCCTGCCTCAGCCTCCTGAGTAGCTGGGACTACAGGCGCGTGCTGGCACGCCCGGCTAATTTTTGTACTTTTAGTAGAGACAGGGTTTCACCATGTTGGCCAGGCTGGTCTTGAACTCCTGACCTCATGATCCCCCTGCTTTGGCCTCCCACAGTGCTGAGATTACAGGCGGGAGCCACCGTGCCCAACCACCATTTAACTGCCTTTCATGGAAGAATGCCTAGCCTGTGGTTTCTTTCTTGATTTGTGACAGCTCACAGCTTTCAAGAAAACTACCTATGGATAGGCTGTGTGGTTTTTGTTCTGTTTTAGACGGAGTTCACTCTGTCTTCCGGGCCGGGTTACCGTGGCACGATCTTGGCTCACTGCAACCTCCACCTCCCAGGTTCAAGCAATTCTCCTACCTCAGCCTCTTGAGTAGCTGGGATTACAGGCAAGCACCAACACGCCCAGCTAATCTTTGCATTTTTTAAGTAGAGATGGACTTTTGCCATGTTGGCCAGGCTGATCTCGAACGCCTGGCTTCAGGTGATCTGCCCACCTCAGCTTCCCCAAGTGCTGGGATTATAGGCATGAGTCACTGCACCCGGCCTATTATTGTTATTTTTCAAGCAAACCTTCAAAAGTTTATTCCAAGGCCTTCCTCCCATAGCAGCAAAGGATGTCTGTTGCACAGTGGGGCTCTGGGTAGCATCTTCCCTTTGGTGGATGTTGTGCAGAGCTGGGCATGTCAACCCTGAGGAAGGCAGACCTGGCTGGCCTGACTGTTGGGTCTCCCTCCTAGGACACGGAGAGCCATGGGTGGGGCAGTGCCTTTCAAAGATGCTCTCACGGAGCGCTTAGCCCTAATCCAGCCCTCCAGGGAGCAGGTGCAGAGACTCATAGCAGAGCAACCCCCACACCTGACCCCCGGCATAAGGTAAGAGGACCTTGCTCCAGGTGTATTTCAGCATGGGTGTGGGGGGCTATCCTCCTGAGGGCATCTAACCATTGCTTTAGAGTACCCTCTGGGTGTGTTCTTTTCATTTTTATTATTTATTTATAGATTACTCAGTCTCGGGTACGTTATTTTTTTATTTATTTCAGACGAAATCTTGCTCTGTTGCCCAGGCTGGAGTGCAGTGGTGTGACCTCAGCTCACTGCAACTTCTGCCTCCCAGGTTCACAGTTCACACGATTCTCCTGCCTCAGCCTCCCAAGTAGCTGGAATTACAGGCCCCCACCACCACACCCAGCTAATTTTTGTATTTTTAGTAGAGATGGGTTTCACCATGTTGGCTAGGCTGGTCTTGAACTCTTGACCTCAAGTGATCCACCTGCCTCGGCCTCCCAAAGTGTGAGCCACCATACCTGGCCTATTATTTTTTTTTTTAGAATCAGAGTCTCATTCTTTGCCCAGCTTGGAGTACAGGGGTATAATCATGGCTCACTGCAGCCCCAAACTCCTGGGGTCAAGTGGCCCTCCTACCTTTGAGAGATGGGGTCTTGCTTTGTCACCCAGGCTGGAGTGCAGTGGCGTGAACACAGCTCCCCGCAGCAGCAACCTTCTAGGCTCAAGGGATCCTCGTGCCTCAGCTCCCTAAGTAGCTGGGACTACAGACATGAGCCACCATGCCTAATTAAAAAAATAGAGAGAGAGACAGGGTCTCACTCACTATGCTGCCCAGGCTGGTCTTGAATTTGTGGGTTGAAGTGATCAATTTTCTCACCTCAGCCTTCCAAAGTACTGACATTTTTTTTGGGGGGGTGGGTGGAGTCTCACTCTGACACCCTGGCTGGAGTGCAGTGGCGAGATCTCAGCTCACTTCAACCTCCACCTCCCGGGTTCCAGCAATTCTCCTGCCTCAGCCTCCCAAGTAGCTGGGACTACAGGTGCGTGCCATCACGCCTGGCTAATTTTTGTTATTTTTTAGTAGAGATGGGGTTTCACCATATTGGCCAGGCTGGTCTTGAACTCCTGACCTCATGATCCGTCCACCTCGACCTCCCAAAGTGCTGGGATTACAGGCGGGAGCCACCACATGCAGCCTTTTTGTTGTTGTTTTTTGAGATGGACTCTCACTCTTGTCGCCCAGGCTGGAGTGTAATGGCGCGATCTCAGCTCACCACAACCTCCTCCTCCCGGGTTCAAGCGTTTCTCCTGCCTCAGCCTCCCGAGTAACTGGGATTACAGGAGCCCACAATGACGCCTGGCTAATTTTTTGTATTTTTAGTAGAGACGGGGTTTCTCCACATTGGTCAGGCTGGTCTCGAACTCCCAACCTCAGGTGATCCACCCGCCTTGGTCTCCCAAAGTTCTGGGATTACAGGTGTGAGCCACTGTGCCTGGCCAAGTATTGAAATTATAGGTTTGAGCCACTATATCCAGCCTTTAAAATTTTTTTTGCAGAGATGAAGTCTATTTTTTTTTGAAACAGAGTCTTGCTCTGTCGTCCAGGCTGAAGTGCAATGGGCGATCTCGGCTCAGCCTCCCGAGTAGCTGGGACTACAGGCGTGCGCCACCACACCCAACTAATTTTTTTGTATTTTTAGTAGAGACAGGGCTTCACTGTGTTAGCGGGGATGGTCTCGAACTCCTGACCTCGCGATCCGCCCACCTCAGCCTCCCAAAGTGCTGAGATTACAGGCCTGAGCCACTGTGGCCGGCCGAGATGAAGTCTTGCTATTTTGCCTAGGTTGTTCTCAAGCTCCTGGCCTCAAGTGACTTTCCACCTTGGCCTCCCAAAGTGCTGGAATTAAAGGTGTGGCCGTGTGGTCCTTCTGGCTCTTACGCATGGTCTTGTCTGTCGGGTTGTCTGGTTCTGCCTGTTTCTGCCTTTCCTCTTTCTCCTGGGAAAACCTAAGCTTTCCCTGTTTGTCTTCGTCTTGTGTTTTGTGGGTCCGTGGGCAGAGCAGGGCTCTGGAGCAGTTCCCTAAAGCAGCCAAGCCCTACCCATGGATTTCTAGGTGCCTTTAGAAAAACATATTTAAAGCCTTAACTCCCCAGGTGATATACCTTGTCAGATACACCTCAGGCCGGTGCATCGGGAGAAGGAGATATATCTTAGTTTCCTCTTCGTGTTTCTTTTTTTGTCCCTTTTGCGTTACTCGGTGTTCGGTATTTTGTGTTTTATTTTTGCAGGGAGCTGGTAAGTCGCCTACAGGAGCGAAATGTCCAGGTTTTCCTCATATCTGGCGGCTTTAGGAGTATTGTAGAGCATGTTGCTTCAAAGCTCAACATCCCAGCAACCAACGTGTTTGCCAACAGGCTGAAATTCTACTTCAACGGTAAGACTCCAAAGGTACCACCTGCCCGTTCTCACCAGTTCTATGAGGCAGTATTCTGGGCACCGCCTGTTGGATGCACTTTAAACAGTCAACATCAGAGTCACATACTGGGAGGAACGGTGCTCTTCACCGACGTCCTCTGCCCTTCGGTGCCCTTTGCTCAGCAAAACAGACTTAGGCCATCATCTGTCCTAGCTTCAGCATCTATTACATCACCTATCTGCATATAAATTCTGCATTTGGTAAGACATGAATTCCTACGTAGGACCTATGACTTACTTTGTTATGTTTCAACTTTATGTGAGCTCCTATGCATCTGAAGCAATTTAGACTCAAGAAGGAGACTTTTGTCTGTGCACGGTGGCTCATGCCTGTAATCCCAGCACTCTGGGAGGCTGAGGCAGGCAGATCACCTGAAGTCAGGAGTTCAAGACCAGCCTGGCCAACATGGCAAAACCCTACCTGTACTAAAAATACAAAAATTAGGCCAGGTGCGGTGGCTCACGCCTGTAATCCCAGTACTTTGGGAAGCCAAGGTGGGCGGATCATGAGGGGAGTTTGAGACCAGCCTGGCCAACAATGGTGAAACCTCGTCTCTACTAAAAATACAAAAATGCAGTAGCTTTGAAGGTAAAATTTAAAAAAAGGAAAAAAATACAAAATTAGCCGGATGTGTTGGTGGGCACCTGTAATCCCAGCTACTCAAGAGGCCGAGGCAGGAGAATTGCTTGAACCCGGCAAGCGGAGGTTGCAGTGAGCCGAGATCCAGTCATTGCACTCCAGCCTGGGCAACAGAGAGAAATTCTGACTCAAAAAAAAAAAAAAAAATTAGCTGGGCATGGTGCACTATGCCTGTAGTCTCAGCTACTTGGGAGGCTGGGGCAGAAGAATCACTTGAAGCCAGGAGGTAGGGGCTGCAGTGAGCCGAGATCACACCACTGCACTTCCAGCCTGGGTGGCAGAGGGAGACCCTGTCTTTAAAAAAAAAAAAAAAAAAAAAGGGAGACTTTAGAAGGGAGACTTCTGTTAACAGATTACTGAACTACAGCTGCCCTTGGGGACGCCTGTCCCCTCTCTGGTCCATAACGGTGCCATAGCTGTTACATCATCTCAGATCTCCAGTTATATCAAGGAGTGACTGATAGTGTTACTGTTTTGTTTTGTTTGACACAGGGTCTCAGTTTGTTCCTCCAGCTAGAGCGTGTGTCTCGATCTCGGCTCACTGCAACCTCCGCTCCTGGGTTCAAGCAATTCTCCTGCCTCGGCCTCCCAAGTGGCTGGGATTACAGGCATGCACCACCACACCTGGCTAATTTTTTTTTGTATTTTCAGTAGAGATGGGGTTTCTCCATGTTGGTCAGGCTGGTCTCCAACTCCCAACCTCAGGTGATCCACCCACCTCGACCTCCCAAAGTACTGGGATTACAGGTGTGAGCTACCACGCCTGGCCCAAATATTTTTTAAATGTACATATATATATATATATATATATATATATATATATATTTTTTTTTTTTTTTTTTTTTTTTTTTTTTTTGAGACGGAGTTTCGCTCTTGTTACCCAGGCTGGAGTGCAATGGCGCGATCTCGGCTCACCGCAACCTCCGCCTCCTGGGTTCAGGCAATTCTCCTGCCTCAGCCTCCTGAGTAGCTGGGACTACAGGCACGCGCCACCGTGCCAAGCTAATTTTTGTATTTTTAGTAGAGACGGGGTTTCACCATGTTGACCAGGATGGTCTCGATCTCTTGACCTCGTGATCCACCCGCCTCGGCCTCCCAAAGTGCTGGGATTACAGGCGTGAGCCACCGCGCCCGGCCAAAATGTACATATGTTAATAGAGCATTTTTGAATGGTCTAGAGATAGAGAGGAAAAAGAAGTCAAGAATGAGTGTGTGAGCAGGAATTTCTGATGTTACAGAAAAATAAAAAAAATAAAAAATAAACAAAAAAAGAATGAATGTGGTAATTACTGTAAGAATAGAAATAACTGATCAAAAATAAGCTGGAATTTCCTGTTGGGTGACATTATACAGTAACATTTTAAATTTCATATATTAAGGTCACTCAAGGTGGCTTAGGAGTTCAACACCAGCCTAGCCAATGTGGCAAAACCCCGTCTTTAATAAAAACACAAAACACAGACAGTGTGGTGGCGCGTGCCTGCAGTCCCAGCTACTCGGGAGGCTGAGGCAGGAGAATTGCCTGAACCCAGGAGGCAGAGGTTGCAGTGAGCCGAGATCACACCATTGCACTCCAGCCTGGGCAACAGAGCGAGATCTGTCTCATAAATAAATGAATGTGATAGATTACTATTTTGTGGTATTCTGCCACCTCAACAATGTTTGAGAATTACTGGAACCTTAAAGGATACAACAAATTCACCCCTAGGTATTTATGACCTAATAGCACCACCTCTACAGTTGATATTTGTAGTCTGAAAACAAAAGTTGGCCAGGTGTGGTGGTTCACACCTGTAATCCCAGCACTTTTGGAGGCCAAGGCAGGAGGATCACACGAACCTAGGAGTTCCAGACCAGCCTGGGCAACATAGCAAGACCCCATTCCTTTTTTTGAGACAGAGTCTTGCTCTGTCACCCAGGCTGGAGTGCACTCGTGAGATCTTGGCTCACTGTAACTTCTGCCTCCTGGGTTCAAGCAATTATCCTTCTTCAGCCTCCCAAGTAGCTGGGATTATAGGTGCCTGCCACTATGCCCAGCTAATTTTTTGTGGGTTTTTTTTGTTTGTTTTTTTGGTTTTTTTTGAGACGGAGTTTCGCTCTTGTTCCCCAGGCTGGAGTGCAATGGCGCCATCTCGGCTCATGGCAACCTCTGCCTCCTGGGTTCAGGCAATTCTCCTGCCTCAGCCTCCCGAGTAGCTGGGATTACAGGCACGCACCACCGTGCCCAGCTAATTTTCTGTATTTTTAGTAGAGACGGGGTTTCACCATGTTGACCAGGATGGTCTCGATCTCTTGACCTCGTGATCCACCCGCCTTGGCCTCCCAAAGTGCTGGGATTATAGGCGTGAGCCACCGCGCCCGGCCTAATTTTTGTATTTTTTTAGTAGAGATGGTGTTTCAGCATGTTGGCCAGGCTGGTTTTGAACTCCTGACCTCAGGTGATCCACCTGCCTTGACCTCCCAAAGTACAGGGATTACAGGTGTGAGCCACCGCACCCAGCTAGCAAGACCCCATTTCTATAATCATAAGCATAAAAGGAAATTTTAGGCCGGGCTTGGTGATCACAAGGTCAGGAGATTGAGACCATCCTGGCCAATGTGGTGAAACCGCATCTGTACTAAAATACAAGAAACTAGCCGGGTGTGGTGGCACGTGCCTGTAGTCCCAGTTACTCACGAGGCTGAGGCAGGGGAATTACTTGAACCCAGGAAGAGGAGGTTGCAGTGAGCTGAGATCACACCACTGCATTCCAGGTTGGGCGACAGAGCAGGACTCTGTCTCAAAAAAATAAAGGAAAATTTAAGAAAAGCAAAGCTTGGCCAGGCGCGGTGGCTCACGCCTGTAATCCCAGCACTTTGGGAGGCCGAGGCAGGTGGATCATGAGGTCAAGAGATCGAGACCATCCTGGTCAACATGGTGAAACCCCGTCTCTACTAAAAATACAAAAAATTAGCTGGGCATGGTGGCGCGTGCCTGTAATCCCAGCTACTCAGGAGGCTGAGGCAGGAGAATCGCCTGAACCCAGAAGGCGGAGGTTGCAGTGAGCCGAGATCGCGCCATTGCACTCCAGCCTGGGTAACGAGCGAAACTCCGTCTCAAAAAAAAAAAAAAAGCAAAGCTTGTTTATTCCCAGGAACAGGTGTGGAGCTCCAGGCCGTGTGACTGAACTGAGGGCCATTTTTAGCCTTCTCAGTGACATTTAAGTGAAGAAATCATCTATGCAGAAAGCTGTCACGGGTAAGACACTTTTGTGAGCCTTTAACCCTGTTTCTACTGCTCTTCTAAGGTGAATATGCGGGTTTTGATGAGACGCAGCCAACAGCCGAATCTGGTGGAAAAGGAAAAGTGATTAAACTTTTAAAGGAAAAGTTTCATTTTAAGAAAATCATCATGGTTGGTGATGGAGCCACAGACATGGAAGCCTGTCCTCCTGCTGTATGTATTAACGGTGCTAATTTTTTTCCAGGTTGTACTTTGGTTCTGTCTATCTGTCTGTCTATTTATTTTGAGACGGAGTTTTGCTCTTGTTGCCCAGGCTGGAGTGCAATGGTGCCATCTTGGCTCACCGCAACCTCTGCCTCCTGGGATTTCAAGCAATTCTTGTGCCTCAGCCTTTCAAGTAGTTCGGATTGCAGGCACCCACCACCACGCCCAGCAAATTTTTGGATTTTTAGTAGAGACGGGGTTTCACCATGTTGGCCACGCTGCTCTCCAACTCCTGACCTCAGGTGATCCGCCCGCCTCGGCCTCCCAAAGTGCTGGGGTTACAGGTGTGAGCCACCACCCCTAGCCCTGCTTTTGTTTTAGACAGCTCACTTATCCTGTAATCCCAGCACTTTGGGAGGCCAAGGCAGGAAATTGTGTGAGCACAGAAGTTTGAGACCAACCTAGGCAGCATAGTGAGACCCCATCTCTACAAAATAAATAAATAAGATAAACTAAAATAGCAGATTTAGATCTACATAAGATTTAACACAGGAGTTGAACTCTCTTTACAAGATTAGAAATGAAACAATAAAAACAAATTCAATCTTGTCATGTCAGCTGACTTTGTACAAACCCAAGAAAACTTATGAATAAGGAACTAAAATCTTTTAAAACTTGTAACAATGTCTTATCCCTGTAGTCTGCCCCCCACCTTTAGCCCCGGTGTGTGCTCAACAGTTGGTTTCATTTCCCCAAATAATAGTGTCAACAACTCTTTTTAATTTAAGATGGAGTCTTGCTCTGTCACCCCAGCTGCAGTGTAGTGGCGTGGTCTCGGCTCACTGCAACCTCCGCCTCCTGGGTTCAAGTGATTCTCCTGCCTCAGCCTCCTGAGTAGCTGGGACTACAGGCACGCACCACCACGCCTGGCTAGTTTTTGTATTTTTAGTAGAGATGGGGTTTCACAATCTTGGCCAAGCTGGTCTTTTTTTTTTGAGAGGGGAGTTTTGCTCTTACCCAGGCTGGAGTGCAATGGCTCGATCTCGGCTCACTGCAACCTCCGCCTCCTGGGTTCAAGCGATTCTCCTGCCTCAGCCTCCTGAGTAGCTGGGACTACAGGCACGCGCCACCATGCCAGGCTAGTTTATGTATTTTTAGTAGAGATGGGGTTTCACCATGTTGGCCAGGATGGTCTCGATTTCCTGACCTCGTGATCCACCCGCCTCAGCCTCCCAAAGTGCTGGGATTACAGGCTTGAGCCACCGCGCCCGGCCTATTTATTATTTTTTGAGACAGGGTCTCACTCTATCACCCAGGTGGGAGTACAGTGGCACAGTCTCCGCTCATGGCAGCCCTGACCTCCCAGACACAAGTGATCTTCCTGTCTCAGCCTCTTAGTAGCTGGGACTGCAGGCACATGCCACCACACCCACTGTTTATTTTTTAAATGAGGTCTCACTATATTGCCCAGGCTAATCTTGAACTCCTGATTCAAGTGATCCTCCTGCCTTGGCCTGCCAGAATACTGGGATTATGTGTGAGCCAACGTGCCTGGCCAGGGATTTTATTTCTAAGCATTTTAAAATCAATGCCGGAAGCAAATGCTATATAGCAAGTGCCATAAATATCAAATGTGTCAATTTCACAGAGCTTTGCCTTTATCATGTCATTCTAATGTAAGAAAAACTATACCAAAAATACAGTGTGGTCGAGAGTGGTGGCTCACACCTGTAATCCCAGCACTTTGGGAGGCCAAGGCGGGCAAATCACCCGAGGCCAGGAGTTTGACACCCACCTAGGCAACATGGTGAAACCCCGTCTCTACAAAAAATACAAAAAAATTAGCCGGGTGTGGTGATGAGTGCCTATCATTGCAGCTACTCGGGGCAGAGGCATGAGAATCACTTGAACCCAGGAGGTGGAGGTTGCAGTGAGCCGAGATCACCCCACTACACTCCAGCCTGAGCGACAGAGTGAAACGAGAGAGAGAGAGAGAGAGAGAGAGAGAGAGAGAAAGAAAGTTCAAGCAATTCTCAAGCCTCAGCCTCCCGAGTAGCTGGGACCACAGGCACCCACCATCACACCTGGCTAAAATTTTATATTTTGTATATTTATATGGAGAGAGAGAGAGAGAGAGAGGGCGCACTGAAGTTTTTACCACCTGGTTTTCTGAGATCTAAAACTAGGCATTGTCTAAAAAAAAAAATAGGCTAGGCATGGTGGCTCACGCCTATAATCCCAGTACTGTGGGAGGCCGAGGCAGCTGGATCAAGAGTTCAGGCAGGCCAGCCTGCCTGGCCAAGATGGTGGAACTCTGTCTCTACTAAAAATACAAAAATTAGCTGGGTGCAGTGGTGGGCACCTGTAATCCCAGCTACCAGGGAGGTTGAGACAAGAGAATTGCTTGAACTTGGGAGGCAGAGGTTGCAGTGAGCCAAGATTGTGCCACTGCACTCCAGCCTGGGTGACAGAGCAAGACTGCATCTCAAAAGAAAAATAAAAAATAAATAAAAATGACAGTTTTTGTGAATGATGGATGAAAAATGGTTAAAAGGAACCTTTTGGCACAAAGGTGACTCATGCCTGTAATCCCAGCAGTCTGGCAGGCAGAGACAGGTGGATCACTTAAGGTCAGGCGTTCGAGACCAGCCTGACCAACATGGCAAAACCCCATCTCTATCAAAAATACAAAAATTAGCCAGGCGTGGTGGCGGGTGCCTATAATTCCAGCTACTTGGGAGGCTGAGACAGGAGAATCGCTTGAACCTGGGAGGCGGGAGGTTGCAGTGAGCTGAGATCTCACCACTGCCCTCCAGCCTGAACATGACAGAGCAAGACTCCATCTCAAAAAAAAAAACGGTTCCAGCCAGGTTGGTCTCAAACTCCTGACCTCAGGTGATCTGCCCACCTCCACCTCCCAAAGTGCATGAGCCATCGAGCCCAGCCTTTGAATCTTTTTTTTTTTTTTTGAGAGTCTCACTCTGTTGACCAACTGCAACTTTCACCTCCTGGGTTTGAGCAATTCTCGTGCCTCAGCCTCCCAAGCAGCTGGGATTGCAGATTCCCACCACCACACCAGCTAATTTTTTTTCTATTTTTAGTAGAGACGGGGTTTCACCATGTTGGCCAGGCTGGCATGGAACTCCCGACCTCTGGTGATCCACCTGCCTTGGCCTCCCAAAGTGTTGGGATTATAGGCGTGGGCCACCTTGCCTTTGAATCTTTTTACTGTTTTATAACCAGTGTTGGGGTTGGCTAAGCAATGAACACTGGGCTAGTTTAATGAGGAATACATAAAAGTAAAATAAAGAGTTTTCTCAGGGAGCTCCCAATCTACTAAAAATACAGAATTAGCCACACGCGGTGGCACGTGCCTGTAATCCCAGCTACTCCGGAGGCTGAGGCAGGAGAATTGCTTAAACCCTCCGGACGCGGTGGCTTGTGCCTGTCATCCCAGCACTTTGGGAGGCTGAGGCGGGCAGATCACCTGAGGTTAGGAGTTTGAGACCAGCCTAGCCTGACCAATATGGTGAAACTCTGTCTTTAATTTAAAAAAATGTATATAAAAAAAAAAGAATTGCTTAAACCCCGGAGGTGGAGGTTGCAGTGAGCTGAGATTGTGCCATTGCACTCCAGCCTGGGCAACAAGAGCCAAACTCCATCTCAAAAAAAAAAGAAAAAAAAGAAAGTACAAAATTCTGTTACTCGCCGTTTCCCTTTATTTATTTTTTTGAGATGGAGTCTCGCTCCATCGCCAGGCGCCAGGCTGGAGTGCAATGGCACAATCTCGGCTCACTGCAACCTCCACCTCCCGGGTTCAAGCGATTCTCATGCCTCAGCCTCCCGAGTACCACAGGCGCCCTGGGACCACAGGCACCCACCATCACACCTGGCTAAAATTTGTATTTTTAGTAGACATGGGTTTTCACTATGTTGGCCAGGCTGGTCTCGAACTCCTGAACTCGGGTGATCCACCCACCTCGGCCTCCCAAAGTGCTGGGATTGCAGGCGTGAACCTCCGTGCCTGGCCTGCCATGTAGTTTATTTATTTATTATTTATTTTATATTTTTCAGACAGAATCTCATTCTGTCACCCAGGCTGGAGCGCAGTGGGGCAATCTCAGTTCACTGCAACCTCTGCCTCCTGGGTTCAAGCGATTCTCGTACCTCAGCCACCTGAGTAGTTGGGATTACAGGCAGCTGCCACCACGCCCGGCTATTTTTTGTATTTTTAGTAGAGATGGGGTTTCATCATGTTGGCCAGGCTGGTCTGGAACTTCTGACCTCAGAGGATCCTCCCACTTCAGCCTCCCAAAGTGCTGGGAATACAGGTGTGAGCCACTGCGCCTGGGTCCTGCTATCTAGTTTAGAACTCAAACATTTACCTACTTATGTGATTTTTATTTTTAAATTATTATTATTATTATTATTATTACTTTTTGAGGAAGACTTTCACTCCGTCTCCCAGACTGGAGTGCAGTGGCACGATCTCACCTCACTGAAGCCTCTGCCTCCCGGGTTCAAGTGATTCTTCTCCCGGACTACAGGCGTGCTTTTTGTATTTTTAGTAGAGATGGGGTTTCACCGTATTGGTCAGGCTGGTCTCGAACTCCTGACCTCGTGATTTGCCTGCCTCAGCCTCCCAAAGTGCTGGGATTACAGGCATGAGCCACCGCGCCTGGCCGATTTTTATTTTTGCAGGCATCTGTCTTGATTCTAAGAGGGCAGGGACCACATCTATCATTCTCCCAAAGCCTCGACATTGTCCAGCGGAATGGGTCCCCTGCAGTGGTGCAGGCACTGACGCACGAGAGTGCAGTGAGGGGTGAGGCAGCCAGGAGCCAAAGACGAGGAGGCGAGGAGCACCCCGGGGGAGGCCAGGCCTAACGCTCTTTGCAGGAACCGTTTATGTTTGAAACACTGCTCTCGATTGCTGCTTGCAACCTTGGTTTTCTAAAAATCATTTCTCTGCCCAGAACCGTGGCTCACCCCTGTAATCCCAGTACTTTGGGGGGCCCAAGTGGCCAAATCACCTGGTCAGGAGTTCAGTACCAGCCTGGCCAACATGGTGAAACTCTGTCTCTACTAAAAACACAAAGATTATCCAGGCATGGTGGCAGGCACCTGTCATCTCAGCTACTTGGGAAGCTGAGGCAAGAGAATCGCTTGAACCCGTGAGGCAGTGGTTTCAGAGAGCAGAGATCATGCCACTGCACTCCAGCCTGGTCGACGGAGCAAGACTCAAACAAACAAATAATAAATACGAAGATCGTTTCTCTCTTTTTCCCTCTTCCTCAGGATGCCTTCATTGGGTTTGGAGGAAATGTGATCAGGCAGCACGTCAAGGAGAACGCCGAGTGGTACATCACTGATTTCGCGGAGCTGCTGGGAGAGCTGGAGGAATGACTTCCGCTGGTGTGCAGCTCCGAACAGCTTCAGACGGGTTTCCAAACGCCGTGCACATTGATGCTGTTTGCTTACAGCTGCCCACTACGACTTGATACAGAAGGTTGCTATGATGATCTGTACTTATTTTTTTTATTTTTTTTTTTTGAGACAGAGTCTTACTCTGTCGCCAGGCTGGAGTGCAATGGCCGATCTCGGCTCACTGCAACCTCCACCTGGGTTCAAGCGATTCTTCCGCCTCAGTCTCTCGAGTAGCTGGGACCACAGGCATGCGCCACCACGCCTGGCTAATTTTTTGTATTTTTAGTAGAGACGGGGTTTCACCATGTTGACCAGGATGGTCTCGATCTCTTGACCTCGTGATCCACCCACCTCGGCCTCCCAAAGTGCTGGGATTACAGGCCTGAGCCACCACGCCGGGCCTAATCTGTAGTTTCAAGTAAACTACAGTTAGGACTCCTAGAAGGCTGCTGTTTTTTTTTGTAACTGTAGTTCCAGTATTACATGATGATTATTACTTTCCTGGAGAGTTTTGTAATCTGAATTGTTTGTGTTCCTGGCTATATCTCATACAAAGTGTTTTAAAGGTGGAGAGTCCATTAAACATCTTTACTCTGAGAAATACGGATTCAGCAGCCTCAGGTGAATGTCGGTTTTCCCTTTGGTGTATCAATAAAAGTTTATTCACGTGTCAGAATGGGTTTGTGGAATTCGCGGTTCTGCCTCTCACGTATTGGAGTGTCCAGTATTTCAGGTACTGTTGAAGCATAAACAGTCCCCAGGCAAGAAACAGGCTTAAGACTCCCCTTTGCTTGGTGCTGGTGCTGGGCACACTCTCCTCCCCCGACAAGCCCACTCTTGTTTCCTGCAGCCGTGGGCCCTGGCGAATCCTCTTTTATCTGTTGGGATTTGTCATATGAAAGGTTACAAAGGTTTGCTTTTTTTCCTTCCTCCAATATAACAGTGGAGTCTTAAACAAAAGTACCAACTATGATTTAAAAAATTGGATATTTGGCCTCACTGGTAGGACAAGGTAAGAGGATCACTTGAGGCCAGGAGTTCAAGACCACCCTGTACAGCACAAGACCCTGTCTCTACAAAAAATGGAAACATCAGCTGGTGTGGCGGCACATCCCTGTAGTCCCAGCTGCTTGGTCGGCTGAGATGGGGGGGCCCTTGAACTCTGAAGTCTGAGGCTGCAGTGAGCTATGACTGCAATACCGCACTGCAGCCTGGGTGACAGAGTGAGACACCGTCTCTTAAAAAAAAAAAAAAAAGGATATTTGAAAATAAAAAGTTTTACTAATCTAATCACAAAGAAAGGCCAGCATTTTCCCCTAAATGAATTAAACATTAATAACTCCTAATGGCCTATATAAACCATTTCCTTTCTATAGGTGACTTGGAAATACTTGAGAGCCAGGTTTATGTTTGTTTTGAGCAGGGCTAAGCAAGGGAAATTTCAGAACAGGCTTCGAATGTGTGAGATTTTTACCCTCCCTGGAGGAAAGACAGGGCAGGAGAGGGGGAGCCATGGGGTCAGGAAGTAGATACTGTTGGATAATTCAGTAGAAAAAGCTGTAAGGTTTTCATATTGAGAAAAACTTAACATTTAACCAAATTTGGCCAAATAATCAATTATTCGGCCACAGAAGCGAATCAGATGAATCAAATCTCCTTCTGAATCAGTTTCCGAAGGAGAGACACGAAGTAGGTTTGGCAGCATTTAAATGAGCTCCCGAACAATGAGGCGTTGTTCCCCAACTGAATAGCTCTGGCCGCTCTCCCAGAAACTTTCTCGGTGTTGGCTCTTTTCAGTGGTGCCAAGCTCTGGGCAGGACCAGACATGCCAGCGCCTTGCAAAGGGCCTCAGCCGCTGCACCGCCTGGTGCATGTGGCAGGAGCAGGCCGTGGGGTGCGCGGGTGGCAGGAGCAGGCCGTGGGGTGGGCGGGTGGCAGGAGCAGGCCGTGGGGTGCGCGGGTGGCAGGAGCAGGCCGTGGGGTGGGCGGGTGGGAGGAGCAGGCCGTGGGGTGGGCGGGTGGCAGGAGCAGGCCGTGGGGTGGGCGGGTGGCAGGAGCAGGCCGTGGGGTGGGCGGGTGGCAGGAGCAGGCCGTGGGGTGCGCGGGTGGCAGGAGCAGGCCGTGGGGTGGGCGGGTGGCAGGAGCAGGCCGTGGGGTGCGCGGGTGGCAGGAGCAGGCCGTGGGGTGGGCGGGTGGCAGGAGCAGGCCGTGGGGTGCACGTGGCAGGAGCAGGCCGTGGGGTGCGCGGGTGGGAGGAGCAGGCCGTGGGGTGCGCGGGTGGGAGGAGCAGGCCGTGGGGTGCGCGGGTGGCAGGAGCAGGCCGTGGGGTGCGCGGGTGGCAGGAGCAGGCCGTGGGGTGCGCGGGTGGGAGGACCGAGCCCCCAGTGGTTTTCACTGTCTGACCCTCACCGCTGCTACTGCCCCACAGGTTCATTCTTGCTCGGGACCCAGATAGAGCCGATTTCTCAAGACGGGAAGATTGCAATAGAGACAGAGCTTAATCCATGCAGAGCCGGCGGACAGGAGGCCAGAGCTTAATTCTTACATCAATCTCCCCAAAAATTCAGAGGCCAGACTTTTTCAAGGACGGTTTGGCAGGCCAGGGGATTTGCTTCTGGGTGGGGCCGCAGAACTGTCCATGGGGTGCTCTAGGGGTGGGGGGCGGGGGCAGGTAGGTCATTCAGTCCAGGTGAAAACACTGAGTGTCAGAAATGCAAAAACCTGGGCTGGTATGATGGCTCACACCTGAGATCCCAGCACTTTGGGAGGATGAGGCAGGCAGATCACCTGAGGTCAGGAGTTGGAGACCAGCCTGGCCAACATGGTGAAACCCCATCTCTACTAAAAATACAAAACAGCTGGGCGTGGTGGGGCACACCTGTAATCCCAGCTACTTGGGTGGCTGAGGCAAGAGAATTGCTTGAATCCAGGAGGCAGAGGCTGCAGTGACTGGAGATCGCACCATTACACTCCAGCCTGAGTGACAGAGTGAAACCCCGTCTCCAAAAAAAAAAGCAAAAGAAATGCAAAAACCCAAAAACACATCTCAAAAGGCCAATCTTAGGTTCTACAAGTGTGATGTTACCTGAATGAGTAACTGGAGGAGCTGCGGCGCTCTGGAACGGCGTTGATGGCTCCACCTGGGCAGAATTCGGGCTGCTTTCGTCCTCCTAGCCTCGTGGTCTCTCTTTAGCTTTATGAAGGCTGTTGAGTTTTGAGGAAGGCGTATCAGTTTGTTTGTTTTTTGGGGTTTTTTTTTTTTTTGAGACGAAGTCTCACTCTGTTGCCCAGGCCGGAGTGCAGTGGCGCAATCTCGGCTCACTGCAACCTCTCCCTCCCGGGTTCAAGAGTCTCCAGCCTCAGCCTCCCGACTAGCTGGGATTATAGGCATGCGACACCACGCCCGGCTAATTTTTTGTGTGTTTTTAGTAGAGACGAGGTTTCACCAAGTTGGTCAGGCTTATCTCAAACTCCCGACCTCATGATTCGCCCATCTCAGCCTCCCAAAGTTTTGAGATTACAGGCGTGAGCCAACGCGCCTGGCCACATGGCTATCATTTAGATGATAAACTCCCAGGTTAGCTTGGCCCGAGCCAGCTATGACTACCGGCAGTTTGAAGGCTGAAGGCAAGATGGGGTGGTTAAATTACATCTCACTTGCTAGAATTTTTGCAAAGGTGGTTTCATCTTGTGTGTGTGCATGTGTGCTTTGGAGGTTTTTCTTTGAGACAGGGTCTCGCTCTGTCACTCAGGCTGAAGTGCAGTGGCACAATCTCAGCTCACTGCAACCTCTAATTACTGGGTTCCAACTTTTCTGTTCTGGTCCATCTTTCATAAGCACGCAAAGGTGGTTTCAGAGCCCATCCACGGGGCTGTGGCCGAACACAAGGTGGACATGAACTTGGCTTAGAGGAATCTGACCCACTGAGAAATACTGATGCCCGCATGGAACCCTCTCTAGGAGGGGCTGGGCCCACAGCCTGCCCAGCTCTCAGCAAACCGCCCAAAAGCTGCCCAGACAATCCCTGCTTTGTTGGGTTGGAGGAGTGAGTTTGAAATGAAGCAAGAACTGCCCCAACCCCTTCCACATTTTTTGAATTCTGGACTCTGGAAATAGCTACAAAGAGTTCTCCAGGAGTCACCCATGTGCCTGCACTCGGATGGATACAGAAAGGCCTGGCTGATTGTCCGGGCGACGCCTTGTTCATTCCCATTATGAACACTGCTTTTGTCAACAGAAAGAGTAAGAACTGGGATAGTGAGGTCCCTTGGTGGCTCACGTCTCTAATCCCAGCATTCTGGGAAGCTGAGGTGGGCGGATCACCTGAGGTCGGGAGTTTGAGACCAGCCTGACCAACACGGAGAAATCCCGTCTCTACTAAAAATACCAAATTAGCTGGGCGTGGTAGCACACACCTGTAATCCCAGCTAATCGGGCGGCTGAGGCAGGAGAATTGCTTGAACCTGGGAGGTGGAGGTTGCGGTGAGCCGAGATTGCACTCCAGCCTGGGCAACAAGAGCGAAACTCCTCCGACTCAGAAAAAAAAAAAAAGAATTGGGATCATGAAGCCAAGAGCAGAATTTTATAAGGTTATTACGTTGAAATAATAAAACTCCTTTAAAGCTTTTATATGCTTTAAAAAGAAAAAGGCCTTATGGCCCCCGCCCATTCCATTTTCACCTGGTGTAACTGCTGCTTATTTTTACTTTTTTTTTTATGTAGAGACAGGGTGTCATTCTGTTGCCCAGGCAGGAGTGCCATGCCACCATCATAGGTCACTGCAGCCTGGCACTCCTGAGCTCAGGTGGTCCTCCTGCTTTGGCCTCCTGAATAAGTGAGACCACAGGTGCACACCACCACACCTGACTAATAATTTTTTTTCTGGAGATGGGGGTCTTGCTATGTTGTCCAGGCTGGTCTTGAACTCCTATTAATTCTTTTTTTTCTGGAGATGGGGGTCTTGCTATGTTGTCCAGGCTAGTCTTGAACTCCTGGTCTCAAACGATCCTCTGTTCTCAGCCTCCAAAAGTGTTGGAATTATAAATGTGAGCCACTGCGCCCAGACCTAACTGCTGGTTTAATATTCTTTCATTTCTCCTCTCTTGTACCAGAGACAAGTGTGTTTCCATAGGACCTAGAGAGGGCTGGGGCAGGATTATCCACCCCAAGTGAATACTTAATGCTGTGGTCACAAGGGCTGACATAGGGATACGATGTCGGAAATTTTACTCCCTGAGATGTGAGACCTGTTTTGCAAAATCTTCACGTGGTTTTCATCTGTTTTTATAATTTGTTTTTGTAGAGATGGGGGTCTCATTTTGTTGGGCTCAGGAACTCAAGATCAGCCTTACAATGTAGCAAGACTCATCTCTACAAAAAAACACAAAAATTAGATAGATGCTGTGGCTTATGCCTGGCATCCAAGCTGCTCAGGAGGCTGAGGCAGGAGGATGGCTGACATCCAGAAAGAAGAGGCTGCAGTGAGCTGTAATTACACCACTGCAGTCCAGCCTGGGCAACAAGCAAGACCGTATCTCCAAAGACAGACAAGCCCCAAACTGACATTCTCCATACTCTTTCTCTCCTTCCTTGTCTTCTCTCTCCCTCTCTCCTTTCGCTTCTTCCCACCCTTCTTCTTGTTGATTCCTGCTATTATTGAACAGCTATGACCCAGAAAGAAACTGAAAGTATAAATTTAATAAGAAATACATTTGTAGGCCAGGCGTGGTGGGCCCACATCTGTAATCCCAGCACTTTGGGAGGGCGAGGCGGGCAGATCACATGAGGCCTAGAGTTCAAGACCAGCCTGGCCAACATGGTGAAACCCCGTGTCTACTATAAACACAAACATTAGCCAGGCATGGTGGCGCATGTCTGTAATCCCAGCTACTCAGGAGGCTGAAGCAGAACTGCTTGGACCCAGGAAGCAGATGTTACAATAAGACGAGATCACGCCACTGCACTCCAGCCTAGGTGACAGAGTGAGACCCTGTCTAAAAAAAAAAAGAAAAAAAAATTGGGCAGGCGCGGTGCCTCACACCTGTATCCCAGCACTTTGGGAGGCCAAGGCAGGCGGATCACAGAGACCAGCCTGGCCAACATGGTGAAACCCCGTCTCTACTAAAGTTACAAACATTAGCTGGGTGCGGTGGTGCACACCTGTAATCCCAGCTACTCAGGAGGCTGAGGCAGGAGAATTTCCTGAACCAGGGAGGTGGAGATTTCAGTGAGCTGAGATCACTCCATTGCACTCCAGCCTGGGCAACAGAGCAAGACTTTATTTCAAAAAAATAAAGGGCCGGGTGTGGTGGCTCAAGCCTGTAATCCCAGCACTTTGGGAGGCCGAGGCGGGTGGATCACGAGGTCAAGAGATCGAGACCATCCTGGTCAACAAGGTGAAACCCCATCTCTACTAAAAATATAAAAAATTAGCTGGGCATGGTGGTGCGTGCCTGTAATCCCAGCTACTCGGGAGGCTGAGGCTAATTTCTGTGTTTTTAGCAGAGACTGCATTCTGCCATGTTGGCTATGCTGGTCTCAAACTTCTGGCCTCAAGTGATCTGCCTGTCTCGGCCTCCCAAAGTGCTGGGATTACAGGTGTGAGCCACTGTGCCCGGCCTTCTTATTATCCTTATTTTTAAGACAGGGTCTAGCTCCGTTGCCCAAACTGTAGTGCTGTGGCGCAATCACAGCTCATTGTAGCCTCAACCTCCTGGGCTCGAGCAGTCCTCCTCCCTCAGCCTCCTGAGTAGCTGGGACTACAGGCGCCTGCTGCCATGCCCAGCTAATTTTTAAATTTTCTGTGGACACAGGGTTTCACTCATGTTGCCCAGGTTGGTCTCGAACTCCTGTGCTCGAGGGACCCTCTGGCCTCGGCCTCCCAAAGTGTTGGAACCACCAGTGTGAGCCACTGGGCCCAGCCACTAGGATCTTTCTAATGGCCTCCAACACTCAACGGATCCAGCCCTGTGACCTCTGAGCTGGCGTCCCAGCAGTCTCCCTGGTGTCTGCCATCCTCCGCACACACCAGGCATGACCTTGCCCAGGGCCTGGTAATTTATCCTAAGGAGGGATTTTCCCCAGAAGCCAGCTGACCTCAATCCTTTGTTACAAGCTCTTCTGCAAGGGTGACAGGACCCTTCACAGCACGTGTTTGTCATTCACAGCACAAATTTAATAAAAGAGTCCAAACATGTGATATGTGAAAATTAAGAGGATTTTATTGACTTTTCTATGTTCTTGGAGAAAATCATTCACATGTAAAAGTTTGACATTGGGTATGAGATTTGTTCACACTTTACATTCTTGATTGTGGGGCAGACGTAACTGTTCATTTCAGCAGCACTTTCACATGATAAGTCACAAGACTGGCACACTATACTGAAAACGGAATCAAACAGCTGGACAAAAAGTATGCGGCTTTATGCCAATTTGAATCTCAACATGCACCACCCCCCATCGATCTTGAAGTATCTGCTGTGAGCTTATTAAAATATTAAACAGAGAGTGTCTGAGGTCACAAATGACCATTTACAAAATAAAGCCTCTTTTCCTACTGCTACTTGTTTTGTTATAGAAAAATATCACAAATAAAAATTAGTGCTATTCAAGGTGTTCATTTCAAAATCACAGGTGACACACAAGTTTCAAGCCACTGTTTTTGTCTCTCACATAGAAACAGCACAGTTCATGACGTGAAAGTGATTTACGGACTGAATGTACCTTGCCCAGCTTGGGAAACCCACTGTCTACTGCGTGGACTGATTACAAATGAGTGAAGTAACACATTTCCAGTTACTGGGTATACTTTTAAGTTGCTCCTCCTCAGAGACTCAGAAAAACTGCTCGAGAAATGTGACAAAATTTGTATTTCTTCCTGATACAAGAAATTTGTCTAAAAATCTGTAATTAGAAAGCAGATTTTTTTTTTTTAGTAAAGAAATGGCTAACTTTTTTCTTCGTTGGAATCTTATTTTGGAGATGATTCAGATTTCGATCTGGACTTGCTCTGGAGGGTGGGAAGAGTGGCTGTTACAAGGTAGACTGGACGACACGGGGATGTTTCAGAGGCCGACAGGGCACTGCCGCATCAGTCCAACTGTAACTGTTGCCTTTCTTGTGATTACGTAAATTTTAAAGAAAAGAGGTCTCTCACAAGCTACAGACGGCAGCTTAAACCTCGGTGTTTCTTTTTTCACTTGATAAACAATTAAAGTTAATTCATGACAAATACTTGTCCCGGACATGTATGCGGGCACACATAAACCTCGGTGTTTCTTTCTTCACTTGATAAACAATTAAAGTTAATTCATGACAAATACTTGTCCCGGACATGTATGCGGGCACACATCCACTCAACAGCTTTACTGGAGGGGCGAGGTCTTCAGTGGGATCATGATTCTGGATTCCATCTCCTGGATAAGTGGGACTGAAAACAGGATGAGGGTTACTGTGCTTGCTCTTTTCTAAACACAGTACGGTACATGACACCAACAGACAGATAGCTGAGAATGTTCACAGATGTGCTGCTTGAAAACAAGAGGATGTCAGAACATACAGGACTGATCTCAAGGGCAGAAATATACAAGCGAACGCTGTATCCGCTGGCATCCTACAAGATGCTATTAAAATTACAACATATCCTACCTGGAGATTTATTTATTTGTGGGAGGTGGGGAAAAGTCCACACTGTGAGGAAAAATAGTGATTTCTCAAACGTTCTTTGGGTAAGCAGCAAAATCACATACGATTGTATAATTTTAACATGTAATTACATGTTATAGAATCTCTTGAACTGAAAGACAAGATAACACCTACTTTCTGGGACAAATTACTCTTATTTGCTTTCTTGGTAATATATGGGCTGAAATATACTTTTTTTTTGAGATAAGAGTCTCGCTCTGTCGCCCAGGCTGGAATGCAGTGGTACAATCTCCACCTCCGAGGTTCAGGCTATTCTCCTGCTTCAGCCTCCGGAGTGGAGACAGGTTTCATCATGTTGGCTAGGCTCATCTTGAACTCCTGACCACAGATGATCTGCCCATCTCGGCCTGCCAAAGTGCTGGGATTACAGGCATGAGCCACTGCACCAGCCTGAAATATACTCGCCACGCCTCGTGGCTGGGACTGATTACCGACATCACTGGGTTACATTCAGCCCAACTGTTTTCTTACAAAAATCAAGCAAACAGCGTCTTATAATATGTATATATTTATGCATGTGCACATGCGTGTCTATGTACCTATGTATACATACTGTACATACTGGAAGTTTAATTTATGTAATTTTAAAATCACTCTTTAATTCATGTATTAAGTTATGGTTTGGGGTACTAACAACTTTGATGGAAAAGGAAAGCTTAGAAAAAAAATTGCATTTGTGTAATAAGTTTTCAGAATACAGAAATCTACAAAAAAAGGTACTTACGTAATATTTACAACATCCCAGGGTCTAAAAACTGTACCAGACGACATACACATTTGAAAGAATGAGCGGTGGCTCACGCCTGTAATCCCAGCACTCTTTGAGGCCGAGGCAGGTGGATCACAAGGTCAGGAGTTTGAGACCAGCCTGGCCAATATGGTGAAATTCCGGCTCTACTAAAAATACAAAAATTAGCCGGGTACAGTGGCAGGCGCCTGTAGTCCCAGCTACTCGGGAGGCTGAGGCAGGAGAGTTGCTTGAACTCGGGAGGCAGAGGTTGCAGTGAGCACAGGTTGTGCCACTGCACTCCAGCCTGGGTGACAGAGTAAGACTCTATCTCCCCTACCCCGTCAAAAAAAGGAAAAGAAAAAGCGAGTTCTGTCTCAAAAAGCTAAAAAGAAAAAAAAAGAATATTCTGCTGTGTTGAAGAAAAGTCTTGTAAGTATCAGGGAAAAACTTACTGTCTTCCGTCCCCACAACCTGATGATTCCCTACCCTAGCAACATACTATTAGAAAAGCCACCCAGGCTGGGCACGGTGGCTCACACTGTAATCCCGGCACTTTGGGAGGCTTAGGCGGGCAGATCACGAAGTCAGGAGTTTGAGACCAGCCTGACCAACATGGTGAAACCCCATTTCTACTAAAAATACAAAAATCAGCCGGGTGTGGTGGCACGTGCCTGTAATTCTAGCTACTCAGAAGGCTGAGGCAGGAGAATCGCTTGAACCCAGGAGGTGGAGCTGAGGTCGCACCACTGCACTCCAGCCTGGGTGACAGAGCAAGACTCTATCCCCCACCCCCTGGAAAAAGCCACCTATCAGTGTCAGGGTGAAAGAACATGACTGAAACAGTAAGGCAAAGGTAACGTCCGGTGGCCATTAGCAGATTACCTGTGTAATACACCAATTCCTCCCAGCCGTGTTTGTGCCACGCTGCATTCCGTATGTCTTCCCTGGTCTGAAGATCCCTGTAGGCTTAAAAATAACCACACAGAGAAGTAAGACTTAAAACATACACCCCGCATTCCGCCTGTAAATCCGTTAAGGTCTTGCTTTACCTGGGAATCTAGTTTTCTCAGGGACCACTTCAGGTGTGTACTACTGAGTTGGGAAAACTGTGGGCTGGTTATTCTGAGCAAAATTACATTAGGCCATGTGGGAAAAGCAAAATTTCAGTCTTTTTTTTTTTGAGACAGGGTCACTCTGTCACCTAGGCTGGAGTGCAGTGGCATGATGCCAGCTCACTGCAACCTTGACCTTCCAGGCTCAAGTGACCCTCCCACCTCAGCCTCCCCAACAGCTGGGACTACAGGCATGTGCCACCACATTGGCTAATATTTGTCTTTTTTGGTGCCCAGGCAGGTGTCCAACTCCTGGGCTCAAGTCATCCGACTGCCTGGGCCTCCCAAAGTGCTGGGATTACAGGTCTGGGCCACCACGCCTCACCCATTCTTTTTTTAAGTTAAAAAAATTATTTATTTATTTGTTTGTTCGAGATGGGGTCTCACTATGTTGCCCAGACTGGTCTCAAACTCATGGACCCAAGTGATCCTCCTGACTCAGCCTCCCAAACTGCTGGGATTTGAGGTGTGAGCCACCACATCTGCCCACGATTCCCTCTAAAGCTTTACAATCTAGTGAATCCAAGATACGCCTTTATAAACCAAGTGAACTTCTCTAACAACACGTCAAATCCATGACCAGAAACTCAGAGCACAGATGAGCAATGTCAGATTCAATTCTACTCAACATTTATCCTGCACGACACTGATCTTGGCAGGGGCTGTGTTCCATGCGGTGAGGCCCCGGGATATGAGGCAGGCAAGGTCAGCTGTGGAGAGTGCTGGGGCCCATGCAAGGACATGGTGCACAGGGGAGCATGGCAGGGAACGAGAGCTTCTGGAAATGTGCGCGCTGACCAGGTGGGTGTTGAAGTTGAGAAGGAATCACTGATGTAGGAACACAAAGAAAGATGCCTCAGGTGAAGGCGGATCCCCTGGGTCATGGTACAATTCACAGGTATCTCATCCAGATGCCTTGGTTCGGTGGTTTTTTTTTTTTTTTGAGATGGAGTCTCCCTCTGTTGCCCAGGCTGGAGTGCAGTGGTGCGATCTCAGCTCTGCCTCCTGGGTTTAAGCGATTCTCCTGCCTCAGCCTACTGAATAGTTGGGACTACAGGTGCATGCCACCACACCGGGCTAATTGTTTTGTATATTTTTTGAGTGGAGACAGCGTTTCACCATATTAGCCAGGATGATCTCAGTCTCCTGACCTCGAGATCCGCCCACCTGGGCCTCCCAAAGTGCTGGGATTACAGGTGTGAGCCACAGCTCCTGGCCTAAATTTTTGTATTTTTAGTAGAGATGAGGTTTCACTATGTTGGCCAGGCTGGTCTCTAATTCCTGACCTCAGGTGATCCATCCACCTCGGCCTCCCAAAGTGGTGGGATTACATGTGTGAGCCACTGTGCCCAGCCAATATCTTAATTATATATATATGTATTCTGAGACAGGGTCATGCTCTATTGCCCAGGCTGGAGTGGCACAGTCATAGCTCACTGCAGCCTCGAACTCCTGGCCTCAAGCAATCCTCCTCTTCAGCTTGCTGTCGCTCTGTAAAGCCTGAGTCCTCCCCACAGGGCAAAGACAAGGGGTCTGCCCTGTGTTCCCCACAGCCTCTGTGAGAGCTCCGCCATTCACATTCTGGTGCCTGCCTGTTTGCAATTCCAGGCTCCCGCATCTGGGAGGCCCTCTCTGGGCAGCTACAGGTGCTGATGTGAATGGAGCATGCACCTGGCTTGACCTCTGCCCGACAGCCAAAGGGATGGAAGCTTCCTCTATCCAATCCGGCCCATGTAGCACCTGCCCTTATTAAGAGACAGGGATGCCTGGGAGGGTTGCCTATTACACAAGCTACAACAGTAATGACAGATCCACTCAGGGCTCCGGGGGCTCAGGAGGAGTGACGAGGTTCACTGGCAGGGAGAGGGTGACATCTGGGGCAGGCCTGGAAATATACCAAAGACCGTACCGAACAAAAGTGGGTGGGGATGGAAAAGGTGAGGGGTCTGTGTCCTAAGACAGTGGAACCACGTTACAAAAGCAGGCAGTGAGAGTGTGCAGGGATCTGCCGTTCTGGGTAAAATGCAGGCCTATCTCTGCTGAGGTAGTAGCAAGTCAGTCTGCAGAGAAAGGCTGGGCCCGGTCTGCGGAAGGCACTCGGACTTCCCCGGCCTCCTTCTCCCATGGCTGATTCACCCTTCACCCTGATTCCTTTCACCATCATCCCCAGTCATTTTCAGCTCACTCACGCCACGTGTCTGTGGACTTTCACTGTGGCCTTGCTAGCTCCAGACAGCCTCACACGTACTGTCCCTCTGCGACGTCTGGGTTTGCCGCAGGGGTTAAGGTTACTGACTCGAGACGTGCTCTACCGTCCAGTACAACTTAGTAATGAACTCTTAAATCCGAGCAGCTTGAAAAGAAAGAAAAAACAGATACCCCAAAGATGGTGGACCATGTACAGCTGCCCAATCTGAGAGAAGAATCCTCCCACAGCTTCGTTACCATCCTGTCTGAAGCGGATCGCGCGAGCCCTAGAAGAGGGAGGCCATGTTTAAGACAATAGGGAGAAACAGTAGACTCAGGGCAGGCTACTCAAAACGAGGACTAATTGTTTATCAAATTGTTACCAAGTTATCTCATGCAAATAAGTTACTTTATTATTTTTGAGATGGAGTCTCATTCTGTCACCCAGGCTGGAGTGGATCGGCACAATCTTAGGTCACTGCAGCCTTCACCTCCTGGGTTCAAACAATTCTCTTGCCTCAGCCTCCTAGAAGCTGGGATTACAGCTGCCCGCCACTGGGCCTGGCTTTTCTTTCTGGGGCGGGGGGATGGAGTTTCACTCTTGTTTCCCAGGCTGGAGTGCAGTGCCACGATTTCAGCTCACTGCAACCTCCATCTCCTGGGTTCAAGCTATTCTTATGCCTCAGGCCAGGCTCATCTCAATCTGCCCCACTGCAGCCTCCCAAAGTGCCAGGATTATAGGCATGAGCCACCAGACCAGACTACAGCCCTTTACATTTTTTTTAAGATGGGGTCTTGCTCTGTTGCCCAGGCTGTAGTGCAGTAGCGGGATCTTGGCTCACTGCAACCTCTGCCTCCCAGGTTCTAGCGATTCTCCTGCCTCAGCCTCCTGGGTAGCTGAGATTACAGGTTTGCACCACCATGCCTGGCTAATTTCTGTATTTTTAGTAGAGACAGGGTTTCACCACATTTGGCCAGGCTGGTCTTGTACTCCTGACCTCAACTGATCTGTCCACCTCGGCCTAAGTGCTGGGATAACAAGCGTGAGCTGCTGTGCCCAGTTCAGAGCCATTTAATGGAAACACCTTTCACACTTGCATCAGATACTTAAAATATATATATATTTAGCCAGGCGCACTGGCTCATGCCTGTAATCCCAGCACTTTGGGAGGCCAAGGCGGGTGGATCACTTGAGGTCAGGGGTTCGAAACCAGCCTGTCCAGCATGGCGAAACCCCATCTCTACTAAAAATACAAAAATAGCTGGGCATGGTGGCGGGCACCTGTAATCTCAGCTACTTGGGAGGCTGAGGCAGGAGAATCGCTTGAACCTGGGAGGCAGAGGTTGTAGTGAGCCAAGATCGTGCCACTGCACTCCAGCCTGGGCAATAAGAGCAAAACTCCATCTCAAAAAAAAATATGTATATGTGTGTGTGTGTGTGTGTGTGTGTATATATATAGTGATGCATCTAAATTCCTAAAAATGCTTTTAAATGTACCTATTTTTTCAAAAGCAGTTTTTTAGATCAAATGTGAAAAGGAGGGTGTGAAATCACGTAGGGAGGTCACCGGAAGATGCTCAGTTAAGCTCTAGCAGATTACACCCCATGTGGTACCCAGTCAGTCCATACCACTCTGCCCAGGCTCTGGTCTGAAGTCTCAGTCACATCAGGGTCCCACAGTTGACAAGACTTGGGAAGACAGATTCACTCTAATTCACTCAAAAGAGCCGGCAGCATATAAACAAGGATAGCGACCCACTAACACTGACGGTGAAAGGCGCCGCTCTCAAGGCACGAGACGCGTGAGTTGGCTCGGCCGAGCATTCTCTTCCCGGAGGCAAACCTCGTATGTGCTGAATGATGACATCTCAAAAGGGGGAACACTGATTTCCTGTGAGTGATGAAGTCACTCGTCTTTTTACAGGCAGGGTCTCACCACATTTGGCCAGGCTGGTCTTGTACTCATATGTTCTGAATGTCACCCAGCCTGGAGTACAGTGGCATCTCAGCTGACTGCAGCCTGGAACGCTTGGGCTTCAGGGAGCCTCCTGCGTTGGCCTCCTGAGTAGGTGGAACTATAGCCCTGGGCCACTAAGCACGGCCAATTCTTTTTTTTCTTTTTCTTTTTTTAGAGACAGGTCCTTGCTGTGTTGCCCCGGCTGGTCTTGAACTCCTGGGCTCAAGCGATCCAGTCTCCTTAAAATCACTCCACACCTCCGCTCTAATCCACCATGGGCTGAATGCCACAATGGGGACCTCACCCAAGCACTCTGGTTCCTTTCGGGTAAAAAAGGGACTTCTTGCTACTGTCCCCATAGATTTTTATCCACAAATAAGATGACATCTTTAATCTTAACATTGAGAATTAAGTGATCAGTATCTTCACAGAAATTACAAATCTGATTATTGAAATTAAGCAAATCACTTCAACGTGCATTCTAACTCTATTCAGAAGAACAAAACCTGCCTTTCATTAATAGTGATAAATATTCCAGATTATTCATTTCATTCTGAATTTTTGTAACTTAGTTGTGGTAGGCAAAGAAAACATACTTGCCTTAGCCTGGTAACAATCAGAAGCCTGTACAGACGAGACGGTCACCATCTTAAATAGTTACCTATGTGCCAAAATATAAATTGAATGCTGAACTGGCTTTATAAATAACTTTTTTTTTTTTTTTTTGAGACAGACTTTCGCTCCTGTTGCTGGAACTGGAGTGCAGTGGTGCAATCTCGGCTCACTGCAACCTCCGCCTCCCGGGTTCCAGCAATTCTCCTGCCTCAGCCTCCCGAGTAGCTGGGACTACAGGCATGCACCACCATGCCCAGCTAATTCTGTATTTTTAGTAGAGACGGGGTTTCTCCATGTTGGTCAGGCTGGTCTTGAACTCCCGACCTCAGGTGATCTGCCCGCCTTGGCCACCCAAAGTGCTGGTATTACAGGTGTGAGCCACCGGACCCAGAGAAACAATTTTAAAAGTAACTGAATAACCTAAGTATGTCCCTGTGGATTCCACGAGGACCGAGTCTTATCAGCAATGTGCAAAAACTGAACCAGCGAGTGATCCTATTCTGTCAACAGCTCGATGAGTAACACCAGCAGTCCAAAAACAAAAGCACAAAAACTGTATACAATAGTTGCATATAATCAAATATGTATTTCTTAGTTTTCAAATAAGAAATTCCAACTTGTATTATTTAGCCTTTGATGATCTAAGGAGGAAAGATTCATTAGAAATAAAGATGACAGAACTATTTGTTGGAGGTAGAAGGGATCTCAGGAATTATTTCATACACAGCAGGAAATTTCATAACCAAAACAAGAGAAAAACAGGGGCACAGTGGCTCATGCCTGTAATCCTGGCACTCTGGGAGGCTAGGGCAGGCAGGTCACTTGAAGTAGGAGTTCAAGAACAGCCTGGCCAACATGGCAAAATCCTGTCTCTACTAAAAATACAAAAAATTAGCCAGGTGTGGTGGTGCATGCCTGTAATCCCAATTACTTGGGGAGCTGAGGCAGGTAAATCGCTTGAACCCAGGAGGGAGAGGCTGCAGTGAGCCAAGATCACGGCAGTGCACTCCAGCCTGCGTGACAGAGCGAAACTCCATCTCAAAAAAAAAAAAAAAAATGGCTGGGCGCGGTGGCTCACACCTGTAATCCCAGCACTTTGGGAGGCCAAGGTGGGTGGATCACAAGGTCAAGAGATCGAGACCATCCTGGTCAACATGGTGAAACTCTGTCTCTACCTAAAATACAAAAAATTAGCTGGGCATGGTGGCACATGCCTGTAATCCCAGCTACTCAGGAGGCTGAGGCAGGAGAATTGCCTGAACCCAGGAGGCGGAGGTTGCGGTGAGCCGAGATCATGCCATTGCACTCCAGCCTGGGTAACAAGAACAAAACTCCATTCTCAAAAAAAAAAAAAAAAAAAAAAAGATATAAGTTGAAAATGAGCAAAAGGCATAAGGATACAAGTTCTCATTTAAAGGTAAAGAAGCCAAGAGTAGCCATGCGCAGTGGTTCACGCCTGTAATCCCAGCACTTTGGGAGGCCAAGGTGGGGGGATCACAATGTCTGGAGTTTGAGACCAGCCTGATCAACATGGTGAAACCTGTCTCTACTACAAACACAAAACTTAGCTGGGCATGACGGTGGGCGCCTGCAATCCCAGCTACCTGAGGGGCCGAGGCAGGAGAACTGCTTGAACCTGAAAGGTGGAGGCTGCAGTGAGCGGAGATCATGCCACTGCACTCCAGCCTGGGCAAGAGAGTGAGAGCCTGTCTCAAAAAGAAAAAGGAAGCCATGTCAAGTAACTCACACCCAGGGCTTTTTCTCAGCACCACGTGGCCTCCCTCTTCCTGGGATATGTTATGAAATGCCTGTAGGAAGCAGAAATAGTACGTTTCCAAAGAGAGGTAGGTTAACGTAACTACTTCGAAGGAACACAGAGCACCCCCCAACAAAAGAAAAACAAAACTGAGGTACAGAAATGTCAAGTTTCAAAGAAAAAAATGCGCAAAATCTTTTGTTGAATCAGATATACATGTATGCTTACTTCAGATTCTTTTAGGAAACTAGCCCACTGTTTCAAAATTAATATATATATTTGAGATGGAGTCTCACTGTCACGCAGGCTGGAATGCAGTGACGCCATCTCGGCTCACTGCAGCCTCGTTGCTGGGACTACGGGTGTGGCCACCACGCCCAGCTAATTGTGTGTGTGTGTGTGTGTGTGTGTATCCTTAGTAGAGATGGGGTTGTACCATGTTGGCCAGTCTGGTCTCAAACTCCTGACCACAAGTGATCTGTCGGCCTCGGCCTCCCAAAGTGCTGAGATTACAGGCGTGAGCCACCAGGCCCGGCCAATAGTTTCAGCCTCCTAAGAAATCTCATAATGAAGTATGGTGGCTGCTAAAAAGAAAACACCAACAATCGCACCCTCACAGAGCCCTACACGTCACCAGTGCTTTTCTTTCCATTCCCCGTCCCAGGCGCTGACTTCAGCTAACCAACGGCCAATAGTTTATTGCTGCATCCCTCTTAATCACTGAGGCTTTTTTTTTGAGACAGGTCTTGCTCTGTTGCCCAGGCTGGAGTGTAGTGGCATGATCATGGCTCACTGCAGCCTCAACTTCCTGGGCTTAGGTGATCTTCCTGTTCAGCCTTCAGAGTAGCTGTGACTACAGGCATGCGCCACTGCACCTGGCTAATTTTGCATTTTTTGTAGCGATGAGATTTCACTATGTTGCCAAGGCTGGTCTTGACCTCCTGGGCTTAAGGGACCTTCCCACGTTGGCTGCCCAGTATTGAGATTAAAGGTGTAAACCATGGCACCCAGCCTACTGAGGATTCATGTCTTCTCTGCTTCCCTCTTAACAGTCAGGATATCCCCAAGCAGTGTTATATCATAATGGTGAATGCTGGCATTTTGTTACAATTCTATCAGTGTGCTTCTTGTGTTTCACCGTTCAGTTTAAGGTCGCTGCTGGCAGGACAAGAACAGCTTTATGATTTAAATCCGGGCTGGTAAACTGGCCCCCTGGCTAACCCGCACCATCTGTTGATGGGCACTTGGGTTCTTTCTACTTGTTGGCTATTATAAAACATGCTGCTAGGAGCACTTACGGTTTATATGGATGTCTGCTTTCTAACCTGCACGATTTAGCCTTTGATGACTGAAGAAGTGGAGATTTTCACTTGCACACCTAAGTGTCCACGTGGATGGTATCTTTTGGATAGACACCCAGGAGTGGAATTGCTGAGTCATGTGTACTGTTTGTTTCTTTGAGATGGAGTCCTGCTGTTGCCCAGGCTGGAGTGCAGAGGTGCGATCTCCGCTCACTGCAACCTCCACCTCCTGGGTTCAAGTGATTCTCGTGCCTCAGACTCCTGGGTAGCTATGATTGCAGGTGCCTACTCCCACGCCTGGCTAAGTTTTTGATATACATACTTTTTAGTACAGACAGGGTCTTGCCACGTTGGCCTGGCTGGTCTCAAATTCCTGACCTCAGGTGATCCGCCGCCCTCAGCCTCCCAAAGTGTCGGGATTGCAGGCATGAGCCACTGCACCTGGCCCACATGTAACGTCATGTTTACTACTGTGAGGGACTACTAGACTGTTTCCCAAACTGGCTGCACCATCTTACATTCCCATGGGCAATACAGGAAGGGTCCACTTCCTCCTCACCTCACCAACACGTTATTACCCATCTCTTTTTAGTCACAGCCCTCCCAGGCCAGGAACTGATAGCTCACTGCAGTTTCACTTTGCATTTCCATGACTAAGGATGCTGGCTCCCTTTTCAGAAGCTTATGAGGCATTCATGCATTTTCTTTGGTGAAATGCCTATTCAAATCCTTTGCTGATTAAAAAGAAGTTTTACAATTATTTTATTAATTATTTAATTTTTAAAATTTTATTTAATTTTAATTTACAATTATTTTTGTTTTGAGACAGGGCCTGTATAGCCCAGGTTGGAGTGCAGTGGCACGATCTCAGCTCACTGCAACCTCTGCCTTCCAGGTTCAAGTAGTTCTTGTGCCTCAGACTCCCAAGTAGCCAAGATACAGGCATGTGCCACCATACCTGGTTAACTTTTTTTTTTGAGATGGAGTCTCGCTCTGTTGCCCAGGCTGGAGTGCAGTGGCACGATCTTGGGTCACAGCAACCTCTGCCTCCTGGATTGAAGCAATTCTCCTGCCTCAGTCTCCCGAGCAGCTGAGACCAAAGGCACCTGTCACCATACTCAGCTAAGGTTTGTATTTTTCGTAGAGACATAGTTTCACCATGTTGGCCAGGATGGTCTGGATCTCTTGACCTTATAATCGGCCCGTCTTGGCCTCCCAAAGTGCTGGGAGTACAGGCACGAGCCACCGCGCCTGGCCTAAAAATTTTTTAAACGTATTTTTTATTTTGGTAAAAAACACCTAAAATTAAAGTTACCATCTTACCCATTTCTATGTTTACAGTTCAGTAATGTCAAGTATATTTACACTGTTGTGCCACAGATCTCCAAAACATTTTCATTTTGTAAAACTGAAACTCTAAACTCATTAAATTCAAATTCTGTATTCTCTGCTCTGCCCAGCCCCTGGTGACCATTTTTCCACTTTGTTTCTGTTTCTTTTTTTTTTTTTAAGACAGTCTCTCCCTCACTAGGCTGGAGCGCAGCGGTACAATCTCGGCTGACTGCAACCTCCGCTTCCTGGGTTCAAGTGATTCTCCTGCCTCAGCCTCCTGAGTAGCTGGGATTACGGGCATGCGCCACCACGCCCGGTTAATTTTGCATGTTTAGTAGAGATGGGATTTCTCCATGTTGGTCAGGCTGGTCTCAAACTCCCGAGCTCAGGTGATCCACCCACCTTAGCCTTCCAAAGTGCTGGGATTACTGGTGTGCCCCACAGCACCCAGCCCATAATTCCTTTATCCATGTATTCCATGTATCTATTGATGGATATGCGGGTTGCTTCTACCTCTTGGCTACCACAAATAAAGCTATGACAAACATGGGTATGCAAGTATCTTTGAGATGTGCTTTGAATTCTTTTGGATATATACCCACAAGTGGAACTGATAAAGCACACTGAATTCCATTTTCTTTTTTTTTTTTTTTTTTTTGGAGACGGAGTTTTGCTCTTGTTACCCAGGCTGGAGTGCAATGGCGCGATCTCGGCTCACCGCAACCTCTGCCTCCTGGGTTCAGGCAGTTCTCCTGCCTCAGCCTCCTGAATAGCTGGGATTACAGGTGCGCGCCACCATGCCCAGCTAATTTTTGTATTTTTAGTAGAGACGGGGTTTCACCATGTTGACCAGGATGGTCTCGATCTCTTGACCTCGTGATCCACCCGCCTCAGCCTCCCAAAGTGCTGGGATTACAGGCGTAAGCCACCGCGCCCGGCCAGTATTCCATTTTCAATGTATGTATGTATCTACTTATTTTTTGAGACAGTTTCGCTCGTTACCCAGGCTGAAGTGCAGTGGTGTGATCATGGCTCACTGCAACCTCTGCCTCCCAGGTTCAAGTGATTCTCCTGCCTCAGCCTCCCAAGTAAGTGGGATTACGGGCATGCACCACCACGCCCAGTTAATTTTGCATGTTTAGTAGAGACGGGATTTCTCCATGTTGGTCAGGCTGGTCTCAAACTCTTGATCTCAGGTGATCAACCCATCTTGGACTCCCAAAGTGCTGGGATTACCACCATACCCAGCCTATTTATAAATAAAAATTAATACATGAATAGGCTGGGTGTGAGCCACCATACCCAGCCTATTTATGTATTAATTTATTTATTTTGTGAGACAAGGTCTCACTCTATCCCACAGGTGGGAGTACAGTGGCATGATCATGGATCACTGTAGTCTCCATCTCCCCAGGCTCCAGCCATCCTTCCACCTCAGCCTCCTGAGCAGTTGAGACTATAGGCACATGCCACCACCAAGCCTGGCTGGTTTTGTTTTGCTTTTTTGTAGAGACAGGGTTTTGCCATGTTGCCCAGGCTGGTCACCAACTTCCAGGATCAAGGAATCCTCCCGCCTTGGCCTCCTAAAATCCTGGGATTACAGGTATGAGCTACCACGCCTGGCTGCTATCATAAAGTTCTTTACCCATTTTTTAATTGAGTTATCTGTATTCTTATTATTGCGTTGTAAGAACTGTGGATATTCTGAATTCAGTTTGCTTATCAGATATACGATTTGCAAATATTTTATTCCAGTATAAATTGTCTTTTTAATTAAAAAACATTTTTTTAGTATCACTGAGAGTAAGGTATTATCTTTGGTTTCAAGACAGTCTTGCTGTCACCCAGGCTGTAGTGCAATGGGGTGATCTTGGCTCACTACAAACTGTCTCTCAGGTTCAAGTGATTCTCCTGCCTCAGCCTCCTCAGGAGCTGCAACTACAGAAACAGCACCCCAACAGGCTAATTTTTGTATTTCTAGTAGAGACAGGGTTTCACTATGTTGTCCAGGCTGGTCTCAAACGCCTGACCTCAGGCGATCTTCTCACCTTGGCCTCCCAAAGTGCTGGGATTACAGGCGCGAGCCACCGTGCCCAGACTATTTTTATTTATTATTTTTGAGACAGAGTCTCACACTGTCGCCCAGGCTGTAGTGCAGTGGCGCGATCTCGGCTCACTGCAATCTCTGCCTCCTGGATTCAGGCAATTCTCCTGCCTCAGCCTCCCGAGTAGCTGGGACTACAGGCATGCACCAACATGCCCAGCTAATTTTTTTTATATTTTTAGTAGAGATAGGGTTTCACCATGTTGGCCAGGATGGTATCAATCTCCTGACCTTGTGATCCGCCTGCCTTGGCCTCCCAAAGTGCTGGGATTACAGGTGTGAGCCACTGCACCCAGCCAGCTATTTTTATTTTTGAGACAGTGTCTCACTCTGTTGCCCAGGCTGGAATGTAGGGGTGTGATCTTGGCTCACTGCAACCTCTGTCTTCTGGGCTTAAGCAATTCTCCAACTCAGCTTCCCAAAATAGCTGGGACCTCAGGCATGTGCCATCACAGCTCACTAGTTTAATTAATTTATTTATTTTGGTAGAGATAGGGGTCTTGCTATGTTGCTCTGACTGGTCTTGAACTCCTGGGCTCAAGTGATTCCCCTGCCTTGGCCTCTCAAAGCGCTGGGACTATAGGCATGAGCCACACTGCACCTGGCCAGTCTTTTGCATTTCTAAAGCCTGCTGGGACTGATAGGAATTCTGTTGAATCAACAGATCAACTTGTGGAAAAATTGGTATTTTTTCTATTCAAACTAGCAGGAAAAAAAAGGAACTATGATTGATGTGCTCTGTATATGTGACAACAGTAATGTTTCAGAAAAGACGATATCCAAGAAGTATGTAAACCAACCTTCTGCAATACTGGTGTTTCCTTTTAAAAAAAAAAGGTGCTTATCTTTTAAAAACACATACAGTACTGAACTATTTATGGAAACAGAATGTTGTCTGGGATTTAATTCCAAACAATCTGGGTTGAAGGAGTGAAACCTCAGCGAGATTGGCCACGTGTTAACTACTGAAGCAAAGTGACGGATGTGGCCGCGGTGCCCCATTCTTCTCTCTAGTTTTGTATGTCTGAAAAATCTCATAAGAACATCAAACAAAACATTAGTCTAGTGTCAAGCCGTGGTACTATCCTTAGATTTTTTGTCCCTAGAATTAACACTATGGCTTAAACTAATTTATCAACAAGACGTAAAAACTCACCATTCAGTAATATACTCACCAGTAATTGCCCCATTCGATCATGGTTCCTGGCTGAAAACAGATTTAGATTTGGTTTGTTAGTTCTTCTGTGAAAAAAATACAGAAAAAGCAAACAGCAGTATAAAAAAACATTAAGTGACAAAACTAACTTTAAAAAAACCTCTTTTTTTTTTGAAGACGAAGTCTCGCTCTGTTGCCCAGGCTGGAGGGCAGTGGCTCAATCTCAGCTACTGCAACCTCGGCCTCTTGAGTTCAACTGATTCTCCTGCCTCAGCCTCCCGAGTAGCTGGTATTACAGGTGGCTGCCACCACGTCCGGCTAAGTTTTTGTATTTTTAGTAGAGACAGAGTTTCACCATGCTGGCCAGGCTAGTCTCAAACTCCTGGCCTCAAGTGATCCACCCATCTTGGCCTCCCAAAGTGCTGGGATTATAGGAGTGAGCCATTGCACCCAGCCAAAACTTAATTTTTAAAATTTAACAGAGACAGGGTCTCACTATGTTGTTCAGGCTGGTAAACTTCCAGGCTCAAGGCATCCTTCAACCGTGGCCTCCCAAAGTGTTGGGATTACAGGCGTTAGCCACTGCACTTGGCCTGTATTCCTTTTAATGCTGCTACATGGGGCTTTCTTTCGAGTCCTCAGTAGGAAAATGTCTAGAAAGTGTTATAAAAATTACTGCCCTTTATTCTGATCACGTTCTATAATTGTTCAACAGTTACAATATTTATTAGCTGCTCTCGTTTAACCACAATAGATGGTACATATTCTACTTCATCCTGCACTTTAGGTCTTTCTTCTTAAAAACAGAAATGCTGTTTGGAAAAATATCAAATAATAAGCATTATGTGTAAGGCCATAAAACGCAAAAGAGCTTAGCCTGGTGACAGTGTGAGACCGTCTTAAAATATACATGTATATTTTTATGTATATATGTGTGTGTGTGTGCGTATATATATATATATATATATAATGCTAAACACTAAACACACATCACAGAATGTACACACAAGTTCTGTTGTCAGCCTTACAAAGTGCTTGTGCTTATTCACAGAACAGCAAAAGGAAGAACTCAAATTTCTGTACTTACTCGGAGTTGGTAAGACCTGAGTTCATATATATTAGGTCCTGATCGTGGGACAGGCTCATTCCAGAAACTGAATTCCAGTAGGAGCTGATTCTTCCTAGAGAGAAGCATGTCACTTCTTGCCTTACGGAATTCCAAAAAGTCCTTTGAGTAAAAAAAAAAATGTGCTCATGAAATCTTCTAATACTTACATACAAGCCCATTTTGGTAACATTTATGTTCCTACAGAATACCATAAGAATCAACAGGTCCCAGTTGGCCTAAGACAGTCCCAGCTTACATCTGTTGAGCTGGTGTAATCGTTAATAGCATTCCTTTTGAGTCTCAAAGTGTCCAGGTTTAGATGACAAATTACGGAGTGATCCTAATTTTTAGATGGCAATGTAAAGCAATGTAATTTTCTTTATTTTCAGATTCTTCTAGCAGCGTTTGATGGCACATCAACAGCAGTGGCACGCAGACTACAAACAGCAGATAATTCAGAAGCTATTTATATTTGTCTGGAAATCTATACGGAAGGTTTTCTTTCCTAATGATGTGTAGCTGTTAAATTTCTCCCTACTGCTGAGCACCTGCTAGTGAAGAGAGGGTGGAAAGCAAAGTCAGCCCAAGATAAAGTATTTGCATTTGGAAAACAGTTCCTGAAGTAGACAGATTTAGGTCATCCAGGGCTAACTGTGTCTGCCATGCTGATTGACACTCCAGTCACCAATTTTTGTTATTTTTTGAGACAGAGTCTCACTCTGTTGCCCAGGCTGGAGTGCAATGGTATGATCTCGGCTCACTGCAACCTCTGCCTCTCAGGTTCAAGTGATTCTCGTGCCTCAGCCTCCCACGTAGCTGGGATTACAGGTGTGCACCAATACGCCTGGCTAATTTTCGTATTTTTAGTAGAGACGAGGTTTCACCATGTTGTCCAGGCTGACTTCAAACTCCTGACCTCAACTGATATGCCTGCCTTGGCCTCCCAAAGTGCTGGGATTATAGGCATGAGCCACTACACCCGGCCCAGTCATCAGTTTCAAGGTACCACCTTATCAGTTTCAAAGTACAATTGACTTTTTTTTTAGATGGAGTCTTACTCTTCCGCCAGGCTGGAGTGCAGTGGCACGATCCCAGCTCACTGCAACCTCCGCTTCCCAGGTTCAAGCTATTCCCCTATGTCAGTCTCCTGAGTAGCTGGGACTACAGGCACACGCCACCATGCCCAGCTAAGTTTTTGTATTTTAGCAGAGACAGGGTTTCACCATCACCAGGATGCTCTAAATCTCCTGACCTCATGATCCACTCGCCTCAGCCTCCCAAAGTCCTGGGATTACAGGCGTGAGCCACTGCGCCCGGCCTACAATTGACTTTTACAATAAGAACTATTATTTTAATAGTATTACAACTGTTTGTGTTTCAATACAACTCCAGGAGTCCAAACAGTAACACGTGTGACAGGAATGAAGTTTATTACAAAAACCGAAGCCAGAAGAGTCATTTAATTCTGTACACACATCTGTGTGTCATTAGTCTAAGTACACATTTCTCAAGTCATTACCTTGTTTTCTCTGAGCTTATTCATGACTTCTGTGAGGGCTGGGTAGCCTCCTTCGTACCTCCAGAGGTGGACTGAAATGCATTTTAAAGATAATATACATTTAGAATTTCATGGCACCACGACCTGAAAACGCTCTAGATGGGTATGATGTTATCCCAACACTAAACTGTAGACTGGGTGTGGTGGCTTGAGCCTGCAGTCCCAGCACTGTGGGAGGCCGCCGCAGGAGGATCACCTGAGGTCAGGAGTTCCAGACCAGACTGGCCAACATGGGGAAACCCTGTCTCTACTACAAATACAAAAATTAGCTGGGTGTGATGGTGGGCGCCTATAATCCCAGCTACTTGGGAGGCCGAAGCAGGAGAATCGCTGGAACCCGGGAGGCAGAGGTTGCAGTGAGCCGAGATACCATGCACTCCAGCCTGGGCGACACAGCGAGACTCCATCTCAAAGAAACAAAACAACTATAATGCGCCATGTGTTGGCCTATAAGTTACATCATAAAGTTTCAATAATAGATTCAAACATTAAAAACTATTTTAAAACTTTTTTTTGGCATGAATTGTTGAAGAAACTACTTTAATCATAAAATGAGACTGAGACTTGGAAAGCTTTGATAAGAACAAACATTAAATCAGAAAATTACTTAAGGGTTACGTAAGGCTAAGGAAGAAGTGTTTATTCCAGAGACTTCGCTTCCTACCAGCTTGGTCCTGTTCGCCATACCACGTGTTCCAAGTCCCCACCAAAGTACAAGGGTAGTCTTTATCTTCGTGAATCTTAGGCAACACCTCTTGACTTAAAGAGAAGAAACAGCAACACTAATTAAACAACCAGCAAAATTTGACCAGGTGGACAGCACCTGATCAGTAACAGGAAAAAGACTACCTACTGTTGTTCTAACAACTGACCTCAGAACATCCTCATGATAAAGCGACATGTGGAATTAACCTTCTGGATGAATTCTGTTGAACTCCAACACCCTGCTGCTCAGAAGCTTAGGTTTCTGTTACCCCAACTATCTAGAAGAGCTGAACCAGTATAAAGATGGTACAGAGAAACCAAAGGTTCCAGGATTTCAGGAGTCTAATATTTTCCATTTGAGGGGAAAAAAAAAATACCACCAAAAAACGTTCTGTTGGTTCCAAAGACAGAAGGAGAATAGCAGAAAAGAACACAGAAGAAACAAGGAAGATGGAAAGGGAAGAAGGGCCTGTTGCAGACAGAGGCAGACAACATGAGCAACACCAGCAGGCAGAGGAACCAGGAGCAGAGAACAAGCTGGCCTTCAGGAAGGAGGAAGACAGAGCTGGAACACAACACATTCTGGAAGTGACCCCAACCTCCAATAGTCCCCAAGGGCATCAACGTGGCAGAAGAATCAAAATTAAAGATACAACGTGAAGCATAAATTACATTCTACTCAATTCAACGGGCGGAGGGGATGGAAGGAGTGCCACGGAGTCTCGTACCAAACACACCAACCAATTCATTCCCACTCATTGTGCGGGGACGGGGCAAAGCCATGGCAGGTCACGGCAGTGTATGAATTTAACAGGGGAGTCAGAGTGCAGCTTGGTTCCATGGAAGCCTTCCTATGCTCTAGAACCTAAGTACGGGGAAAGGCAAAGGGAAGAGTGCAACTGTTTTACACCAAGAGAAAAGCTAAAGCCTGCACACTTTTTGAATAGAAAAATTATGATGAAAAAGTATCGCACAGATTCAACAATGGATGCAAAAGGGGATCAAGGGCAGGAAATGGAACCTGTTCACATTACTCGCTGACACTGAGTGATACTTGGCCAGTGATTACCACCAGATGCTGGGGCTACAGGAGCGGGGTATTTAAGTGACACATGCTAACCAATTGTGCCACTGGAGCTCTGCAGGACCGGGGTGTCTAAACGGTGAACAGAGGAAAGTTCCAAATGGCCCATGTTTAACTGAAAACCCATACACCTTCATGACCCAGTATAGTGACCACATCCTGTGTGCTCTAGGAAGAGTAGCATTTCCTTTTTAAATTCGGATCTGATATTAAATGTATCTGATGTGTAACTCACGAACGCTCAGAGGACAGAGAAAGAGGAATTATGCTAGGAAAAGGTCAGTCAAACATTTCCTTTTGGTGGCATGACATGAGCAGGAATAGACGACCCTGCGCTGGAGGCAGCCCAGGAAGGAAGCCCAGTACCCATGACCCAGGTGGGATCCAGAGAGGGGCCTGGAGACAGGGCCTAGGTTTTTCACCAACACAAAGTCACACATGAATTTGTAGCCAATCCTCTTTGCTGGGGACCCCAAACCTGCTCTTGGGAGCCCTGGCCTTACCTGAATGGAGGTTGTAAGGCAGGCAGTACTTGTACCCAGAACTGGATGGTTTGGGCAGAATCCCATTATTGGGACCCCTAAAAACCAGGCAGGAGTTAAGTCTTTATGTTCTGGAAACAGGGAGCTGCTGAAAGTTTCAGAGAAAAGAAAAAACGTGATGAAAAAAGAAAACAGAACTCAAGCAGATCAATCTGACAAACTTTGGAGTAATGTACCACAGGGCAGGGAGGAGACACGGGTATAGCCTGGAGCCCAGAAAGGTAGTCAGTAAAAAGGCTACTTGGGAACAGGGCTCAAGAGGCTTGGATAGTGAGACAGAGAAGGAAACGAGAGAACAAAAATACATGTCCAATGAAGAATGCATGGCTCTGGGTGACAGACTCATCACAGAGAACTAAGGGACGGGCTGAGTGAAATAAGGTGAGTGGCACAGACGTGGAAGTTGGAAGAGCAAGGTGATTCTACATGCCAAGTTTGAAGTGAGAACACGACATCAAATAGAAATATGAACAGACAGCCAGAAATCCGAGACGGGAGATGAAGTGATACAACAGGACAGAAAAGGTAATCCAGGGAAAATTCCATCGTATGAGAAAAGACTCAGAAATAAACATCTGCTTTGTTTTAGGGCATTTTTAAATAAAAAGAAATGTGCTGAAATGAGCAAGAAATTCAATGCTAGTATTACGTTTCATAAACTATCTTTAAAAATAAAACATAACAAAAGATTTTTCTTCTAAAAAGTATGCTGATTATAGGGACAAAATCGTTTGCTTTCTCATCAGAGTAGTAGATATTAAAGGTAAAAAAAAAAAAAAACCAACTTTTTCTTAACATTTGCTCACAACGGATCATTAAAATACCATCTCTTTTAAGAGCCAATAAGCTTAGCTCTCCCTTTCGTCTTAAAGTTCACAAATTCTGTAAGGGGGCTTGGATCTTGAATCATCCTTGGATCCTGGAGAACAGAGGAGTTGGGAAGAAATGGCAGCTATGTTCAAATATATACAGGACTCTCGCGGGGCAGTTTCACTCAGGGAAAGCAATGAAGGATTCAGAGATGTGGATTCTGATTCCTAGCAATCAGAGCTGTCCAGAGGTGGAACTGACTTCACCACAGGCAGTCAGGAAGGTCTGCCGAAAGGACTCCAGCACTGGGTAAGCAGATGGGTCAGACCGCCTTGCAAAGTCCCTCCAAACCTGAGTCTGACAGCCTATGTGATGATTTAGCTGTGGAGTGCTTAAAATCAAATGCCTTTGGCAATCCTACACAAAGCTCAGTTTAAGAGCCTCTGAATGTTCAGGTTCAAAGGGCAGGGTTGAAAGATCTCTCTCTGTGCTATCAAGTGTTCCTGGAATTAACTAACAAGTAACGCCACTGCTTTTCCCCAAGTAAAGGATAGTTTGGTATACACACCAAATTTTGTTGTATGCTTCTAGGCATTCCGGTTTAACATTGTGAACTGAAACAGAAGAAAATCCAACGATAAACTTCGGAACAAACGGGAAAAGAAAGTCAAGGAGGAAGAGAGCAAACCTGCCACTCACACTGCAGTTTGTAGAGACTGCTTGTTTCCCTTTTGGCCAGCAGATTGGAGTGGGCATCTTTTCGTGGGTCAACCTTCCGCACAAATAAGGACTTAAGCCAGCTGTCTTCTCGAGATCTGCTGCTGGAGCCTGTCCACGTCCTACGGAATAACAACGCCAACTTTATTAACACATGATTTACTAATTTTCATCTTGCAATTAAATTTCTACCATGAATGCTGCCAGAAAGCGAGGATAAATTTGACTGAAGTCACAAGATACACTTTACTCATGAATTTTTTCATTTTTTTGAGATTGGGTCTTGCCTGTCACCCAGGCTGAAGTGTGGTGGTGCGGCAGCTCACCACCGTAGCTCACTGTAGCCTCAAATTCCTGGGATCAAGTGATCCTCCCACCTCAGCCTCCTGAGAAGCTGGGACTAGAGGCATGCGTCATCTTGTGTGGTTAATTTTTTTTGTAGGGGTGGGGTCTTGCTATGTTGCCCAAGCTGGTCTCAAACTCCTGGCCTCAAGCAATGCTCCCACTTACTTCAGCCTCTCCAAGTGCTGGGATTCCAGGCGTAAGCCACTGCAAGCAGCACTTCTCACAAATTTCTGTGTGCATGTTTAATCCCCATACACCAACTACCAGGAAGACAAGTCTGTTGACCTCCCTAGAGGGCAGTGTGGCATCATCCATATGGGAGTGGAAATTGTGCATGACTGCGGCCCAACGACGCCTGTGATCGCGTGCTACAGCCACAGCTATATTCAGCCACAGCTGAACACACATCAGCGTTCACTGCTGTCTTGTTTACAGCTCTTTCCTGGCACTGGCCATTTCAATAGCCATTTCACACAGACTGGTCAAAAGAATCAGGAAATATTCCAGTCAGAAAATACGCGCTGGATAAAACAATGAAGTACATCTACATATACTGATGTGCTGAAATCTGAGATAAATTACACAAAAGACCGGCACAGAACAGCACTATATATACACCTGCAAAGTGAGCTGTTAAGGAGTGATTACTTTCTTTTCTTTTAAAGATGGGTTTCACCATGATGGCCAAGCTGTTCTTGAACTCCTTCAGGTGATCCACCCACCTCGGCCTCCCAAAGTGCTAGGATTACAGGTGTGAGCCACCGCACCCGGCCAAGACTGATTACTTTCATGAAGGTGCAGAGGATTTAAAAAAAAAAAGAGCGATTACATCTGGGGAACATGACGGGGCCTGGGGTCGGAGTAAAGACTTTTTTCTTCTCTGTATAACCTTCTGGACTGTCTGAGCCACTTCTACACACACACACACACCCCTACACACACACACACACACACACACACACACACGAGACAGAGTCTCACTGTGTCGCCCAGGCTAGAGTGCAGTGGCATGATCTTGGCTCCCTGCAACCTCCACCTCCCAGGTTCAAGTGATTCTCCTCCTGCCTCAGCCTCCTGAGCAGTTGGGACTATTGGTGCATGCCACCGTGCCGAGCTAATTTTTGTATTTTTAGTAGAGGTGGGTTTTCATCAAGTTGGCCACCCTGGTTTTGAACTCCTGACCTTAAGTGGTCCACCTGCCTCAGCATCCCAAAGTGGTGCTGGGATTATAGGTGTGAGCCACCCAGCCAATTCCCCATGTTTATTTTACATTTTAAGTTCATTAAACAGAAATTGTGTCTACAATTTTTCTGTTAAATAAATTGTACAAGCTTAGGAATAACAATTGTGAACAATTAAGAAAAGGATATAATAGAAGTTTCTGGAAATATTGACTAGGAAGTTTCATTGAAATGAGAAATACAAGGCAATGACTATTAACAGTTTTAAGTACATCCTTCCAGAAATACAGAGGCAAACAAATATTATGTATACTTACAGATAGGTAATATTTTCACTAATAAAGGATGCCTTTGAAACAGAAGTCTCCCCAGCTGAGCATTTATTTCATATTTAAGTCAGCCTGGGCAGCATAGCAAAATCCTGTCTCTATTAAAAAAAAAAAAGTAGCTGGGCATGGTGGCTCGCGCCTGTGGTCCTAGCTGCCGAGCAGCCTGAGGCAGGAGGGTCGCTGGAGCCTGCAAGTTCAATGGTGCAGTGAGCTGCGACCTGCACTGCACTCTAGCCTAGGCAACAGTTTAGCCTGCCTCTAACACAAACAAAGAACACCAAAGGGATCCCCTTAGGGTGGGTACAGTGAGGTCAGGGGTATGACAATGCTTCGTAAGCTAAACATGCAGAGCAGGGGTGAGACTAAATCGATCAACAGCGCACACACGAGAACCTCCGGGCGGCGTCTCCTTATGAACTTGGGTAGCGACCATCTTGACAAATGAAAGACAAGCTGGCCCAGTATGACCTCCAAGCGTCACACTGAAATCTCTGCCAGGTGACTAAAGCTGCCTCATATGCCCGGCCCGTCTAGTCATTGCAGTTGCAGCTATGCCAACGGCTGCCAGAGGGGAAGATCTGGCTCGGGTTCTGAACTGACAGTGACACTCGCCAAGATGTCAGGGGGCACCTTCCGGAGGGAAAGGAAGGACACACTATACAGAACACTAGACTCGAGATGCAGTCAGCATTCTACGCGGGGCTCTGTGGATACAAAGATGAACCAGACGCCAAGCCTGTTCAGTCTCACAGAAAAAAACCTACGGCAAACAGCCAGAGTGGCCACGGACGCTGTCAACTCAGACACACGCTTCGGGAGCTCGAGTGAACCCACTGTCAGCTTGGCCTGGGAGGCACAGGAGGGACTCCAATAGGGACACTCTGGCTCTGTTTCGGAGGGCAAGCAAGGCAGGTGCTAAGTCCAGTCGAGGGGAACGACATGTACAGGGGCATGGTGTCATGACACTGAATGGCGTATTTCCGGAATGGCAAGTTGTTGAGCAAGGCAGAAGGGCGTGCGGGAGAATGGCAAGATACAACCGGAGGGCGAGGCGAGGGCGGCTTTATCCTGTGCAGAGAGCGATGCAGGCAAGTTTTCAGAAAAGATGTAACTGTTGGCCGGGTAGTGGCTCATGCCTGTAATCCCAGCACTTTGGCAGGCTAGTGCGGGCAGATCATCTGAGGTCAGGAGTTTGAGACCAGCCTGGGCAACATGGTGAACCCTTTGTCTAAAAAACTTTTGTTAAATTGTCCAGGTGTGGTGCTGGGTACCTGCAGTCCCAGGTACTCCGAGGGTGGAGGCAGGAGACTCACTTGAACCAAGGAGGTGGAGGCTGCAATGAGCCAAGAGAAAAAAAAAAAATCTAAGCGTCGAAAGCAGCCTGGCATGGGCACGGTGCATGGCTGCAGCAACAAAAGCCAGAAGCATGCTTCTTGGGCATCCTGGCTGCCAGGCCCAGCAGCACTGGGTCCGTAGAAGGTACTCAATAAATACTCACTGGATGGTGTGGGGTTAAGATGGCGTTGGGGATGAAGAGAAAGGAGTGCATCCAAAAGCAGCTCTTGGGTGCTGATCAGGTGGGGAAGAGGACACTGAAGAAGGGAAAGGACTGAACTCTGAGGCCACAGGATGAGGCAGCAGGAATGCAGTGTGCTTCACTCATCTGAGGACTGCTATTTACTGACTGGGCACCGTACCTGCCAGCCACTGGGCCAGGCTGGTAACACGCAGATGAACATGGCCCTGACCTCGCGGGAGCTCAGTGTGCTGGCGAGGGCAGACAGACACAATCACAACCCAAACAGAGACAAGCTCTTCAATGGTGACACAAAGCAGTGGCTGTAGTGGCTGGGGTGGGGGCAGCCTGGGGACCAGCTCTCAAGAAGTACTTGCTGAGTGGAAGACTGGAAAGAAGAGGAGCAGATGGTCAGGTGGATACCCATGGAAGAAAGGAGATTCCAAGCAGACCCAGTAACCGCCAAAGACACGAGTGTGCAAACAGCACAGCGTTCGGAAGCACGGGCCAGGGGAGAGGAGGCTGGCAGACCAGTGCCAACAAGAGTCCTTCCTTAAAGCAGCAGCTCCTTGACCTCCCTACCTAACACGTCACTCCCTCCAGCCCCCACACTGTACCCGTCTTCCACACTGCTGCTGCAGAGACCTGTTCCCACACCTTTCATTTCGAGAAACTTCAAACCCAGAGGACTTAAAACACGACAATGAAGACTTTTCTGCATCTAGATTTTAAAAACGAACAATTTACCATGAAAAATGTTCCTCTCTATATATACATTTGTTTTTTAATTTCTTTTTTTTTTTTTTGAGACAGAGCTGTGTTCTGCTGTGTGAGCTGCAGAACAGTGGCACGATCTCGGCTCACTGCAACCTTGGCCTCCTGGGCTCAAGCAATTGTCTTGCTTCAGTAATCCATGTAGCTGGGACTACAGGCATGCACCATCACATCCAGCTAATTTTCGTATTTTTAGTAGAGACAGGATTTCACCATGTTGACCAGGCCAGTCTTGAACTTCTGGCCTCATGTGATCCATCCGCCTTGGCCTCCCAAACTGCTGGGATTACAAGCATACGCCACTGCACCTGGCCCTATATTTGCTTTTTTAATTTCTTTTTTTTCTTTTTGAGACGGAGTCTCATTCAGTCTCCAGGCTAAAGGGCAGTGGCGCAATCTCGGCTCACTGTAACTTCCACCTCCCGGGTTCAAACGATTCTCCTGCCTCGGCCTCCTGAGTAGCTGGGACTATAGGTACATGTCACCATGTCCAGCTAATTTTTGTATTTTTGGTGGAGATGGGGTTTCACCATGTTGGCCAGGATGGTCTCGATCTCCTGACCTCATGATCCACCCGCTTCAGCCTCCCAAAGTGCTGGGATTACAGGTGTGAGCCACTGCGCCTGGCCTTAAGAATTGTTTAGATGTGTGGCTGGGCACAGTGGCTCACACCTATAATCCCAGCACTTTCAGAGGTAGAGAGTAGGAGGACTGCTTGAGGCCAGGAGTTCAAGACTAGTCTGGGCAACATAGCAAGACCCTCCTCTCTACAAAAAATTTAAAAATTAGCTGGCAGCGGGTGCAGTGATTCATCCCTGTAATACCAGCACTTTGGGAGGCTGAGGTGGGTGGATCACTTGAGGTCAGGGGCTTGAGATCAGCCCAGGCAACGTGACGAAATCCTGTCTCTACCAAAAATACAAAAATTAGCCAGGCGTGGTGGTGCACGACTGTAGTCCCAGCTGCTTGGGAGGCTGAAAGAGGAGACCTGCTTGAACTCAGGAGGTGGAGGTTGCAGTGAGCCAAGATCACGCCACTACACTCCAGCCTGGGTGACAGAGTGAGACTCCACCTCAAAAAAATAAATAAATAAGAAAATAAAAATTAGCTGGGCATGGTGGTATAGTCCCAGCTACTTGGCAGGCTGAGGGAGGAGGACCCCTTAAGCCCAGTGAGCCAAGGCTGCAGTGGTGATGAGCCATGGTAATGCCATTACACTCAAGCCAGGGCGACAGAGCAAGATTGCATTACAAGGAGAAAAAAAGAATCCTTGAGTTGTCCCGTCCACTGACAGGTTCGAGCCCACACTCTCCGTATGAATCCAGATGAGCGGTGCTGAGGGCTGAGTTAGGGCAGTGGCAGTGGAGAGGGTAGATTCAAAACATACTAGAGGCAGAACCGACACATTTGGTAAATGATAGACGGGGAAAGAAGCGGGCTGAGCTTGGGGAAACGGTCCGGTTTCCGGCCTGGGCCGCCACGTGGAAGAGGTTTCATTACTGGAGAATGGGAACCAAGAAAAGCAGGCCTCAGGGAAGGAGGAGGAGTTACATCCTGGGTGCACCTGTGGGACACTCGTGCAATGTCCAGGAAGCGGCTTGCTGCTGAGCAGCGCTAAGGGACATGTGCCGGCTGATGCCCATGCAGGGACGAGGCTCCCGAGAGGACTTCCTTCTTCCTTTCTGAAACCGATCCAGCAAGGTCACCCACAACACCCCTGTTGGCAAATCCTGTTTTCTTCTGTCATTTTACCTAACCCTTTGGCAGCAGTTGGCACTCCCTCCCTCCTCCTGGCCGCTGTCACGTAACAATGACCTTGCCAGGTCCCCTCCTACACATTCAGCCTGTGTAGGCCGCACGTCGCAGGGCCTGTTTCGCAGCTCCCCTTCTCTCTCCACACTCCCTACCTCATGCAATCTCATACATTCTTACGGTTTTTCTTTTTCTTTTTTTTTTTTGGAGACAGGGTCTGGCTCTGTCACTCAGGCTGGAAAGCAGTGATATGATCTTGGCTCCATGCAACCTCTGCCTCCCAGGTTCAAGCCATACTCCCACCTCAGCCTCCCAAGTAGCTGGGACTACAGGTGCGTGCCACCGTGCCAGGCTAATTTTTATATTTTTTGGAGAGACATGTTTTGCCATGTTGCCCAGGATGGGCAACCCGCTGAGCTCAAGCGATCATCCCACCTCAGCCTCCCAAAGTGCTGGGATTACAGCCTGAGCCACTGTGCCCAGCTTCCTATGGTTAAAAGAAAAAAGTTTCATTATAAAAATTATCATTTACGTGCTTATTTATCATTAGGGACGGAGTTCCGCTACGGTGCCCAGGCTGGTCTCAAACTCCTGGGCTCAAGCAATACTCCTGCCTCAGCCTGCCTAAGCGCCGGGATTACAAGTGTGAGTCACCACACCCAGCCTTTATGATGAAAAATGTAGTCAAATATGAAACAGTATGATGAAATCCATGTGTCTATTAACATTCAGCATTCCTGTGTACTGACAAGTCCCAACATTGCCTGGAGCCCAGACACCTCCCTGAGGAGTCGCATGGCTGAACGTCTATTTACTTTCCACTTGAACAGCACACAGACTTCTCAAACTTTACCAGGTCCTAAACTGCTCGGAACTCTTCCTCCCCAGCTCTCCTGAGTTACTGGTAAGCTCCTGGGTGGCCCTGGTGCCTTCCTCACTGATGTCTCTCAGGAGTCAGCTGTACCTGGCATGTGGCAGGCACTCGCATGTTTGCGGAATAAACAACTCTCAGCAAACTCTCAATCTCAGTGCCGGCATCCACTCAGCTGGCCACCACCCTGAATCTGCCCCCCTCCCAAGTCACAGTGATCTTTTAAAAAAATGATCAGGCCGGGTGTGGTGGCTCACAACTGTAATCCCAGCACTTTAGGAGGTCACAGCAGGTGGATCACCTGAGGTCAGAAGTTAGAGACCAGTCTGACCAACATGATGAAAGCCGGTCTCTACAAAAATACAAAAATTAGCTGGGCATCGTGGTGCATGCCTGTAATCCCAGCTACTCGGGAGGCTGAGGCAGGAGAACCAACTTGAACCCCAGAGGCAGGTTTCAGTGAGCCAAGATCGCACCACTGCACTCCAGCCTGGGCAATAAGAGCGAAACTCCATCTCAAAAAAAAAAAAAAGAGATCAGGCTGGGCATGGTGACTCATGACTGTAAACCTAGCACTTTGGGAGGCCAAGGCAGGTGGATCACTTGAGGCCAGGAGTTCAAGTCCAGCCTGGCCAATGTGGTCAAACCCTGTCTGTGGGTAACACCCCCCATGGGCACCATGGAAGGAGAACTGTCCAGACCCCAGGCACAATTAGTGCCTGAAGAATATCTTAGTTTATAGTGTTATTACTCAGCTATTTCCTTTATATAATCCTTTATATATAATCATATATTCGTTTATAGAATTAGTGCCTGAAGTGTGACTTACTGCTTACATATATCTAGCTTACACAATCATACTTAATACTTCTATCTAGCAACCTTAGTTCCATACAATCTTTCTATATGACCATATAGGTATTGTAGTTGGAGCTGTACTGACACATTCGGTGCTGAGTTATACGATCCTTCCATATAACCATATAGTAGTTTGTAGTAGGAGGAATGCCTAGAGCAGTCACAGAACAGAAGCAGTACATGGGAAAACAGCCAGACCAGACCAGGTCGAGAACCAAAGACTCAGGTGGTGGCGTCCCTGCCTGAAAGAGCAGGAGCCTTCCCTCCTGATAGAGGAGCTGTAGTACCCTGCGTCCAGCTCCTGTGGAAAGTAGGCCTCAGGCCTGAGATCCTGGAAGTAACCAAGGGAGAAGAACCCTCTGGTGTGACCAGTTAGGGCAGCTGTACACCCTGTCAGTCTTTTCTCGCTTCTGTGCTAGCTCAAATCATCCGCTCATAAACGTCTTAACAGAAGAGCACAAGTCTGTCAGCTCCCACTGCATTGGCTTACAGTATCCTTCCATTAGAAACCCTTTGAAGTCTCCAGCACCCAGATAAGCAGGGTTGTGCATGACACCTGCTGCACACAGCCCACCTCCTTGCCTTGGTGACCTAATGGGGGTGGACCCCTTTTCTGTACACAACCTTCTACTACTGCACACGGCACAGCCCCACCCCCTACTGCGCATGGCCTACCTCTCTGCCCAGGTGACATAATGGGGTGGCCCCCTTGCTTGTGACTCAGGTGATTATGTATGCCCTAATACTAAGCCTATAGATGATGACCTCACTTAAGACCCTGCCCCCTGCTTGTACCTAATAAATAAAGACGCTTCTGGGCACTTGGGGCTCTTGTCGATCTCCGCTCAAAGGTGGCGTGGCCCCCGGAGTCCAGCTGCTCTTCCCCAGTTCTTCAGTGTCCTGTCTCTGCTTCTCGGATTCTGCACCTCAGCACAGCATAAGGGACACCCCATGACCCTGTGGGGCCAACAGCCCTACACCTGCCTATACAAAAACACAGAAAATTAGCTGCACACGGGATACGTGCCTGTAGTCCCAGCTAGCTATTCAGGAGGCTGAGGCACGAGAATTACTTGAATCCGGGAGGCAGAGGTTGCAGTGAGCTGAGATCACAGCACTGCACTGCAGCCTGGGCGGCACAGTGAGGCCCTGTCTCAAAAACACAAAAAGATCAGCTCCATTACTTCACACTACTGCTTATATCCTTAAATGTCTTCCATGGCTCTTAGAATGAAGTCCAAGCTCTCTCAGCTGGCCTGCAAGGCCTGGAGTTATGGGACCCTGTTCCTGCCACCTCTCCTCTAGCTGCTCTTCCCTCCCCTCTTGCACTCCAGCCTACTAGACCGGTCTTGGTCTCGAGTTTCCAGTACACCTGGCCTCTTCCCACTCAAGGCTTTTTCACATACTGACCCTTCAGGTCTCACCTTGATGCCTTCTTCGAGATGCCTTCCATGAACGCACGTGGTGGCTGCCTGATTTTCTCAGCCCCTATGTCAACCTGTGCGTCTGTGTTCTGACCGCTGTGGTGGCTCCCTGGGGACAGTGACCATAGCTATTATGCCCAATTCCACATGGCTTCAACCATATCAAAAACACTAATGTCTGGTAGAACTTGTAGATGAACTGAGTCTACCTAGGTTGAGTCCTAGACAATGTCTGTAGTTCAGAAGAAGCCGAGAAGTAGTTGTAAAAGGTACGAGGGGGCCTAAGAGAGGAACCAACCGCCACAGGTCAGATGGAGAAGGACTCCAAGGTCACCACACTCGGCTGCAGTGGGAGGTAGGGGTACTGGACAGATGCAGGTCCAACGCTCACGGTGACTAGCTTTGTGACCCTGGGCACATTAGGCTAACATGTTGGGTGTACAACTTCAGTGTCATCTCTTTTGGAAAGAAAAAAAATATAAATATCATGGGCTCATATTGCCTGTGTGAAAAAAAATGACTTGTGGCCTGGCATGGTGGCTCACGCCTATAATCCCAGCACTTTGGGAGGCTGAGGTGGGTGGAGCACCTGAGGCCAGGAGTAAGAGACCAGCCTGGCCAACATGGTGAAACTCCATCTCTACGAAAAAAAAAAAATTAGCCGGGCATGGTGGTGGGCGCCTGTAATCCTAGCTACTTGGGAAGCTGAGGCAGGAGAATCGCTTGAACCCAGGAGGCAGAGTCTGCAGTGAGCAGAGATCAACCCACTGCACTCCAGCCTGGGTGACAGAATGCGATTCCACCTCAAATTAAAAAAGAAAAAATAAGACAAGCCATAGATGCTCAGTAACTATAAAAACAAAAGGATGTTGATTTGTTAATCAGTTTGGAGACACAAATATCAAATTAAAGTAATTTAAACATCCGAGTCAAGCATCAGTGTTACAAAAGGTCCCTGGGCCTTCCTTGCAGCCTGACAGACTTGGGTTCAAATACCTTGGCTAGTCCAGGCCTGATGGCTCACACTTGTAATCCAAGCACTTTGAAAGGCCGATACAGGAGGATCATTTGAGCCCCTTTCAGACCAGCCTGGGCAACACGGTGAAACCTGTCTGTATAAAAAATTAAAAAATTAGCTGGATGTGGTGGTGTGTGGCTGCAGTCCCAGCTACTCCGGAGGCTGGGGTGGGAGATCACCTGAATCTGGGAGGTCAAGACTGAAGAGAGCCATGTTTGCGTCACTGCATTTCACCTTAGGGGACAGAGCAAAACCTTGTCTCAAAAACAAAAACCTTTTCTAGGCCCGGTGGGGAGGCTCACACCTGTAATCCCAGCACTCTGGGAGGCCAAGGCAGGCGAATCACCTGAGGTTAGGAGTTCAAGACCAGCCCGACCAACACGGAGAAACCCTGTCACTACTAAAATTACAAGATTAGCCGGGTGTGGTGACACATGCTTGTAATCCTAGCTACTGGGGAGGCTAAGGCAGGAGAATCGCTTGAACCTGGGAAATGGAGGTTTCGTGACCCAAGATTGCACCATTGCACTCCAAGAGCAAGACTCCATCTCAAAAAAAAAAAAACAAAAACCCACAACAACCACGAAAAAACTGTTTCCTAGTTATATATCTCTTGCCCTTACCTCTAAAATGCAGATGCTGCTACTTATTCTTCAAACTACTACTGAGATTAAATTAAATAAGCCATGTTATAGCCAGGCATGGTGACTCACATCTGTAATGTCAGCACTTTGGGAGGCTGAGGCGGGACAATCACCTGGGTCAGGAGTTCGAGACCAGCCTGGCCAATATGGTGAAACCCCGTCTCTACTAAAAATAAAAAAATTGGCTGCCTGTGTTGGTGAGCGCATGCAGTAGTCTAGAGGCTAAGGCACAAGAATCATTTGAACTTCGGAGCCAGAGGTTGCAGTGAGCGGAGAGCGTGCTGTTGCACTCTAGCCTGAGCGAAAGTGAGACTTCATCTCAAAATACAAAAATAAAAATAAACCATGTTATTGAAAGCTCCCTGGCCTATGGAGAGTTTAACACACAGTTCCTCTTGTAATTTTTTTTTTTGAGACGGAAGTTTCGCTCTTGTTACCCAGGCTGGAGTGCAATGGTGCCATCTCGGCTCACGGCAACCTGCGCCTTTCGGGTTCAAGCGATTCTCCTGCCTCAGGCTCTGAGTGGCTGGGATTACAGGCACGCGCCACCACGTCCAGCTAATTTTGTCTTTTTAGTACAGACGGGGTTTCTCCATGTTGACCAGGCTGGTCTCTAACTCCCAACCTCAGGCGATCCGCCCCCTTGGCCTCCCAGAGTGCTGGGATTACAGATGTGAGCTCCTTTGGTAATTTAAACCACCCAAAGCAACGAACACGAGAAAGCGACTCCGGGTAAGTCAGGTCCGGCTTTGGTGCCTGCGTGTGAAAACAACACATGGAAATGTCAAGGTGATCGATCTGGACAAGCGATCCACCGAACTTGGGAAAACCAAAGTTTACGCAAGAGCCCCACGCCTCAACACCTGGTGCTGATAACGCTCAGTGCCTTCAGATCCACGGCCGGCTTTAAATTCCAAGTCAAAGGCGTGGGGGATCTGACCTCCTCCGAGAGCTGACTTCCCCCGCGTCCGCGGAGGGCTGGCCCGGGGGGGATCCGTTAGGCGCCGTCTTATTTCCCACTCCCAGCACCTCACAGGCCGGGGTCACCAACGCCCTCTGCAGACGCGGCCACCCAGGCTTGGGGCGGCCTCCCGTGGGAACCCAGCAGGCGGCGTCCCGGGCCTGCGACCTCCGGCGCGCGCCGTCCCCGCCCCCGGCCCCGGGTGGCGCCGGTCAGGGCCCCGCAGGCCGGGCTAGCGCCGCAGAGAGGATGCGGCCTCCGCCCCGAGCCTCGGGCGTCTTCCCGGGCGAGGGCGGAGTCGCAGCGCGGCCCGTCCCCGCCGTGACCTTGAGCCCGAGGGCGCCCCCACCCCGCCCCCGCCGCCCCGAAGCCGGGCGGCCCCCTGCGGTGGGAACCGGGCCGGGACGGAGATCCGCGCCGGGGAACCCCGCGCCCTCCGCCCCGTGGCGGCCCCTCCCCGGCCGCTCCCGGAAAGGGCGGTGCTGCTCACCGGAGCCCCGGCAGGAGGCTGCAGGGGGCCGCCCGCCGCAGGAGACCGCCGGCCCAGGCCGCTCCGCCGGCGCGCAACACCCGCGCCGCCATCTTGCTCGGCGCGTCGGTTCCCACCGCCTGGGCGCCGCCGCTGACGCCGCCGCCGCGCGACCCCTCCCCCGACCGGGCCGGACGCGGCCGCTGCAGCGCAGGGCACGGCCGCCAGGGGGAGCAGGGCGCGACCGCCAGGGGGAGCAGGACGCGGCCGCTGCAGCGCAGGGCACGGCCGCCAGGGGGAGCAGGGCGCGGCCGCTGCAGCGCAGGGCACGGCCGCCAGGGGGAGCAGGGCGCGGCCGCGGGGGTTGCCGGGGTCCAGGCACCCACGCCCAGCAGCTGCCGGAGGGCGCAAAGCCCAAGCGCGGCCGCCTCCAGCGACAGGAGCTCGGTGCCCAGGAGCGCGGGTGCAGAGGGACGAAGGCAGAGCTTCAGCGAGCAAGGAAAGCTCCACGAGGGACGAGTAACACTGTCGCTAGGGGAATCCAGGGCCTGGGCAGGGCAGTGGCACTGGGGTTCCCCCCACCCCACCCCGCCAATACCTGTTACATTTTGCAGTATGTGTGTATGTTGCCATTTCCAAAAACGCCGCAAAGCTTCAACAGATGTATTCTGCTGCTGGACGCAATGGCTCATGCCTGTCATCCCAGCATTTTGGGAGGCTGAGGCCAGGAGTTCGAGACCAACCTAGCGAGCGCCCACTGGGCAAAAAGATTTTATAATTAGCCGGGCATGGAGGAGCGCGCCTGTGGTGTCAGCTACACCGGAGACTGAGGTGGAAGGATGGCTTGAGTCCAGGAAGTGGAGGCTGCATGGAACCAGGATCATGCCACTGCACTCCAACCTAGGCAACACAGCGACATCCTGTCGCAAATAATAAAGAGAAAGAACTGTGAAGGTCTTGGGACACCATGGTTCCCATTCATTTCAGCACCAGTGGGCACTGGCTATGGGGAGTCCTTGGTACCCACCCTCAAGCCGTCCAGGTCTAGTGGGGACAGAATGTGCAATGATGATTGGACTGAGTGGGACAAGTGCCGAAATGGACAGGCTCTCGAGATGCAAAAGAGGCACAGAAAAGAGCATATAACCGGGGGTGGCTGTGAATTGGAGTATACATGGGGAAAAAGGTCCCCAAGGAGCTGGCAGGACAGCTCAGTCCTAGGGGAAGAAGGGAGGCCATCCCTGGCTCAAGAAATAACTTAAGCAAAGGTGTGGGTCTGGGAGGCTGGTGCTGTAGAGGGAAAAATGCATCCTCCAGGGAGATAAGCCACAAATGTAGCTGGGTGCCGAGGCTCACGCCTGTAATCCCAGTGCTTTGGGAGGCCGCGGTGGGCGGATCACCTGCAGTCAGGAGTTTGAGACCAGCGTGGCCAACATGGTGAAACCCCGTCTCTACAAAAATACAAAAATTAGCCAGGCATAACGGTGGGTGCCTATATAATCCCAGTTACTCGGGAGGCTGAGGTGGGAGAATTGGTTGAACCTGGGAGGTGGAGGTTGCAGTGAGCCGAGATCGAACTATTGCACTCCATCCTGGGCAACAAGCTAGACTCTGTCTCAAAAAAAAACAAACAAAAAAAGCCATAAATGTAACCATGAAAACTGCAACCAAGACAAGGGCACCAGGAAGGGAGCCAGACCCTGGGGGTGCGGGAGAACCCGGGAAGAATAGGGGCTCCAGCGGCCAAAGGGAGCATTTCCAGGTTAGCGTGGGACTGCAGAGGCGGAGAGGAAAGTGCCCTCAGGACTGGGCTGCATGGAGGTCATAAGGTGGGCAGGAACTGGGAGGTTCCCCGAAGCTGGTAATCTTGGGAGCCCAGGGAGCATCAGGACTCCAGGGGTGCAATTTTCTGACTAAGGTAGAATTTGAACACATTTTCATGGCAAGAAGCCACCAGGGAGGACGGGGTGGACACTGTGGATAAAGGAGGGCTTTGCCTCAGAGCCGGGACAGGCACCTGTCCCTTGGAGGCCAGTGAGATGGAGGCCAAGCGACATAAGGATAGGAGGCCAGAGGACCTCCTGGCTCAGCTGTCTTTATAAAGCTGTCGAGAACCCTGTAAGAAGTACTTCTTAAGTGATCCATTTTCAGAAAACAGGCCTGGGCAAGTCCGGGCAGCTCCCTGCAGACATGACAAGCCCAGCGGTACAGACATCAGGGAAGAGTGCTAAAACTCACAGAAGTCGGCCAGGCACAGTGGCTCAAGCCTGTAATCCCAGCACTTTGGGAGGCCGAGGCGGGTGGATCACGAGGTCAAGAGATCAAGACCATCCTGGTCAACATGGTGAAACGCTGTCTCTACTAAAAATACAAAAAATTAGCTGGGCATGGTGGCGCGTGCCTGTAATCCCAGCTACTCAGGAGGCTGAGGCAGGAGAATTGCCTGAACCCAGGAGGCGGAGGTTGCGGTGAGCCAAGATCGCGCCATTGCACTCCAGCCTGGGTAACAAAAGCAAAACTCCGTCTCAAAAAAAAAAAAACTCACAGAAGTCAGCCAGGCGCAATGGCTCATGCCTGTAATCCCGGCACTTTGGGAGGCCGAGGCAGACAGATCACGAGGTCAGGATATCGAGACCATCCTGGCCAACATGGTGAAACCCCATCTCTACTAAAATACAAAAAAATTAGCTGGATGTGGTGGCTCACGCCTGTAATCCCAGCTACTCGGGAGGCTGAGGCAGGAGACTCACTTGAACCTGGAAGGCGGAGGTTGCAGTGAGCCGAGTTCCCGCCACTGCACCCCAGCCTGGCGGCAGAGCGAGACTCCATCTCAAAAACAAAAAACTCACAGAAGTCAGAGGAGAGGAAGAATAGTGGCGGGGTGGCCAATTCATAAAAGGAAGGAAAGTTTCACCATTGGGAAATCGAAACTTCAAGTAGGGACCGGGCCAAGATGTATCTTTCCTTTAGACGTTGTCTCGCTCTGTCACCCAGGCTATAGTGCAATGGCGTGATCTCAGCTCACCGCAACCTCCGCCTTCCGGGTTCAAGTGATTCTCCTGCCTCAGCCTTCGATTAGCTGTGATTACAGGTGTCCACCATCGCTCCCGGCTACTTTTTGTATTTTTGGTAGAGACAGGGTTTCACCATGTTGGCCAGGCTGGTCTTGTACTCCTGACTTTATGATCTGCCTGCTTCAGCTCCCCAAAGTGCTGGGATTACAGGCGTGAGTCATGGTACCCAGCCAAGATGTAACATAAGGGGATAAGGAAACTTTGGCAAAGTCCAGGAACACTGCAACCCTGCAATGCTCAGCCTGTGAGGAACGGCGGGGAGGGACTTGCACACTAGGGGATTAATTGCTTGTTGAGACTGTACTGGGTGTGCCTGCCCATCAGACGTGACTGTGACTAAAAAGTCTCACTTTCGTCCAGGCGCAGTGTCTCACTCCTGTAATCCCAGCATTTAGGGAGGCAGGTGGATCACCTGAAGTCAGGAGTTCAAGACCAGCCTCGACAAGATGGTGAAAACCCGTCTCTACTAAATATACAAAAATTAGCCGGGTGTGGCGGTGCATGCCTGTAATTCCAGCTACTCGGGAGGCTGAGGCAGGAGAATCACTTGAATCCGGGAGGTGGAGGTTGCGGCGAGCTGAAGTCACGCCACCGCACTCCAGCCTCGGCGACATAGTGAGACTAAGTCTCAAAAGAAAAAAAAAGTCTCACTTTCACTGTTCTTCGTGCCTGTAAGTCCACTCTGTGTCTGGACGGGTGAGTGTTTCTCACACCCCAAAGAGAGGCAGAAGTGAGCTCTCTCCACGGTACCGAGGACTTGGCCCAGCCCTACAGAGCAGGCGGCGGGGCCTCTTCCAGGGTGGATGAGCTCCTGTGACTGTCACAGGTCTCCACTTCCTCAGCTCTGTTTCATGAGACACATGCGTTCAAGTCTACTCTGAAACACAGACTGTAGTAGACGCTTCGCTGAGCTTGCGTTTGCGTTTTGTATTAGCCTGCTCATCCCGCACTGTTTTCCTCCACTGTCATTTTGCTGTGGAGTTCATTCACCCAGGCTTCTCACTGGGGAAAAGGGGGGCAGTCCGACTTCACAGCTGTGCGGCTTCAGATATTTGAAGGCGTAGAATCAACACAGCAAATCTTCCTGGAGCATAAGTTTTAAACAAAGACTCTCAGGAAAAAGTATGTGTTCAAATAGAAACAAGCATCATTTGTATGTTAACACTTCAATGATACTTAAGTATCGTTTCTATTTTAATACCTCAATGACACTTAGGTACCATTTATACTTTGAATATTTCAATGGTGCTTGAGTATCACTTCTGTTTCAATACTTCAATGAGGCTTAGGTGTCATTTATCTTTTTTTTTTTTTTTTTTTTGAGACGGAGTCTCGCTCTTGTTACCCAGGCTGGAGTGCAATGGCGCGATCTCGGCTCACCGCAACCTCCGCCTCCTGGGTTCAGGCAATTCTCCTGCCTCAGCCTCCTGAGTAGCTGGGATTACAGGCACGCGCCACCACGCCCAGCTAATTTTTGTATTTTTAGTAGAGACGGGGTTTCACCATGTTGACCAGGATGGTCTCAATCTCTTGACCTCGTGATCCACCCGCCTCGGCCTCCCAAAGTGCTGGGATTACAGGCGTGAGCCACCGCACCCGGCCTAGGTGTCATTTATCTTTTTAATGGTGCTTAATTTATCTTTGATGGTGCTTAAGTACCCTGTTTTAATACCTCAGTGATACTTAGGTATCACATATTTTAATGCTTCAATGGTACTTAGGTGTCATTCATATTTTAATACTACAATGGTGTTTATATATCATTTATATTTTAATAATTTGATGCTACTAAGGTACTATTCATATTTTCACATGCTTCATATGTTTATAGTTTAATACTTCATTGGTACGTAAGCATCATTTATATTTTAATATATTTATAAATGACTGTTTATAAATGTTTAAATATTTAAACCTTTAAAATATTTTAGAGATGGTTTGGACTCCATCCCAGAGCTGGTGACACGTGTCGCCATATGCCAGAAGCAGCGCTTGGAGATGCCGGGTACTTTTCTACAAGTTCTGGGGTACATGTGCAGAACGTGCAGGTTTGTTACATAGGTACACGCGTGCCATGGTAGAT